GGGGTGGGGGTGTCCAAATAACGCAGCAACTGGGCTAGAATACTTAACAAAACATTTGTCTAAAACTGGGAAATGTGTGGTGAAACCAAGAATTTTGTATGGGGGGAAAATATATATAACATGACTAACATATATGTATTTTACTGCAAAAATGTTAAAAGTAGCGATGAATAAATTTGAAATAACGATGATGGCAACTTTGTGGCAAAATGAAATACATAAAGGGAAGTTTGAATTCTAAAACCACCGGTGCAGGCTGGCAAGGGCAAAGTTTAGAGATGCCCACAGAACATTAACACAGAAAATGACCTTAAAAAAAAAAGCTGTATTTGTCTGCCAATTTGTGGCTGTGCTGGGTTAAGGGGTGGGTATTAAGACCTCTGGGGCTGTCAAGGTGGCTGTCCACTTGGGTTGGGCCTCAGCCTAGGTTCAAAAGCAAACGTTGTGGCCTTTACCAAGGCTGAGCCCGGCCTGAGAGCTCGGTGAGGTTTTTGAAAACGGCAGTTGGCACTATCCTTGCCAGTGTGGGGCAAAGCAGTGTGGGTCCAGGGTGAGGACACAGCCTGAGATCCCCATAGACAAAACTCTAGCCCTCGTGCCAGGTCTGTCCTCTTTCCTCCCTCCCCGGCTGCCCCAAGCTGGAAGGACAGTCAAGAGACCATAATGAAAAAGTCATCAAGCTGAACAGCTGCCCGGAAGTCGCCTCCCAGGCTCACCACCCACACTCCAAACAAAACCACCCTGTGACAACAGACTCCCTTGGCAACCAGGAGGGGGAAAGGGAGGGAGAATGTTCCTCTGCTCTGGGAGATGGCATCTGCAGGCTGGGCAGGACCCAGGCCGCACCCTTTCCTGGTTCTCAGAAAACTGGTGACTCTTTTCTCATGTGACATGCAACACCGAAGGCTGATTATGTGGCAAGTGCTGGCTTGTTCACTGGCGGATGCCTAGCCTGCTTCTGCCACGTCAAGATTCCTGGCACACCTTTCTCCCAGGTCTGCCCTCTCAGTCTGATTTTTTTTTCCTTCACCTCAGACTGCTCCTCACATTGCAACCCACCCTGGCCTGGAAATCATGGTGGTCCCCTTGCCTCAACCTTTCAGGTTGCTGGGATGACAGGCATGCACCACCATGCCAGGCTCTGTGGCCTCCGTTTTATCCAAGGGGTGTGGTGACTGCCCGAAAGAACAGGGAATTGCCTGTCAGAATGTTCTAGAAAGCTGGGAGGTGGCTATGCACCAAGCTAGTGATACTTTCCTACTGCCTCACAGACCCAGGCTGTGAAGTCAGCCCTGTGTTTCTCTGGTGCATCTGCAGTATTCAGCTACCTCAAGCCCACGGTGTTTTCTCTATCTGCTCTCACTGTCTCCTGCACAGTCATTTCCACAGCCCCGGACAGCTTTTCTTTGACTTTAATTTTTGATTGAGTAGGGAGGGATGATTGGCATCACTCAAAGCTTAGGGTTCTATAAAGCAAAGGTCTCCTGGTCGGTCTCTCTCTCTCTCTCTCACACACACACACACACACACACCCAGGGCAATGGATGGCAGTTGAGAGATTCCTGGTCTTCAAGGTCCACACAGTTTTCCTTAGGGAAAGAAGGTATTTGAGGAGCCATGAGGAGGGGAGAGCCACACAGGTACTCTGTCTTGTCTTGGTGGCACATACTGAATTTGGGCTTTGCTTTCTTCCCCTACAGATAAAGCTAAAATTACTTCCACCCTGCTGGAAGAGGATGCCAGGGCAGCCAGTGCGTCAGCAAATTTCTGTGGATCAAAACAAGCTGTTCCAGAAAACTGCTGTAAACAAGACCTTGGGTGGGGCTGACTGGCATGGGCCTGCCCTGTTTGGGGCCCTGCTTCTGTGGGTGGCCATAGCTTGCTCTTTCCCAGCCAGTTCAGAGGCTGTGGGCTGGAGAGGAAAGAACAGGAAGGGGTCCTTTCTTTCCTTGACATCTGTTTCCATGTTGGGGGAGGGGGCTCTCTCCAAGCCTCAGGATCGCTGACCTCCCCATCTTGTTTGGAAACTAGCTCAGCCCTGTTGTTTCCAAACACACATACCAGCTCAGGGAAGGACCTCAGGATTTCCTACAAAAAAGTGAGAGGCTGCTAGGGGTTTGCCCCAAGGGCAGGACCATGTCAAAACTGCAGCTGCCACTAAAGAATGTGCCAGAACACTGGACCCCCTCCTCCATGGATCCAGTTCCCAGGCTGTGGCCTCCTGGGTCCCTTTTTGAGCTTCTTGTGGTGCAGGAGGTCCCTCAGCCTGGGCTTGCTTCCCTTAGAGCCTGGAGACATGTAGGTCAGGAAACTGCACAGTCACCATGTGCTGGCTGGGAGCCTCCCTGTCCCAATTTCCTGGGCTTGCATCAGCCTGAGCAGAAAAAGCACCGGCCCCTTCCCCTGCAAACCTGCCAGTGTTGTCCTGTGTGACTCTGGCCAGTGCTGCCCCCACCTCTCCCTGATGGCTTTCCCCATCTGGCCACACCCCAAACATTTCACAATTCAGATGAATATTGTTTTTCTTGGAATACTCCTCACCCAGTGGCTCCCTGGTTCACCCTACCCTCAGCTCCTGCAGGCCTGGATCACAAGGTCACTTCTCAGTGAGCTTCCTGGCCACCCCTTCCCTTAACTTGATCTCCTGTGGGGGAGGGGTTTTTGTCCGGTGTGTCCTGGATCTCTGTGCCCAAAGAGGCCCAGGCACAAGGTAGGCCTTGTTAAGTATGTGTGACTCTACAGTTTGTATTTTCTAAAGGTCACTCTGCCGCTATGAGGCCCTCAGTAAATATTTGTGAAATGACCGAAGGAAGAAAGTCCTCAGGTCAGCTGTAGCCCTTGAATGTGACTGCAGGCCTGGTTCTGGCCCTGAGTACTCAGAGCTTAAGGGTTGGGGGGGACTGGGGGACTGGGCGGGGCTTTGCGAACTAAATATAGGCAGAAGACATTTGAGAGACATCATTGGAGGGGGTGTTGAAAGCACTCTTGTAGAGGTTTGTAAGGCCAAGTATCCAGATAGACTGTCCCATCTGCGTTTTTTTGATCCTATTTTTTCGACCCACTCAGATCAGAAGGCCGGGAAGATGAAGAGGGCCCTTGGACAGCAGAGGCTGCTCAAGAGGGACCCTGTCTCCCCTAGGTGTGTGGGGTCTGTGTGTACTTCATCTCTGAAGCCCTTTGCTGGCCTGATGCCTCCCCTTTCCAGCCAGGCCACAGGCCATGGCTTGCAAGAAGCAACTTTGATGTCAGCACTAGAAATCCAGCTCTCTCTGGACTTCATGTTCCCAACACTACCGTTTACAACATTCCCTTCCAGAACCTTGCCCCAGCTGGTCGCCCATTGGAATGCTCTCCCCCTGAAATGCTCTCTCCAGTGGACCCCATGCTGGGACTTCTCCCATCTGCAGCCTTTGATCCTGTGACAGCACTCACCGGACTCACCAGTGCCCCCCCAATCCCATGCTGAGTCACTGTCCTTCCTTTTCAACCCCAGCAAAGGGAATTGGGGGAGGGGGGAGCCCATCCTACAGGCCTTGTCTCGGTTACTACTGTGGGCTCCAGCAAGCCCCGAGCCCCCTCTGCCCCTTGTCCACAAGCAAATCCCAGCTTTCCCAGACTCCTAACATTGCCTTGTGCCTGCTTTCCCAGCCTCCTCATCAAATCACCCACCAGGGATCCAGGGCACAGTTACTCCTGGGGTCAGGCTGACAACCTGTCATCTCTCACTTTTCCCCCTTCCCCAGAACTAGCCACCAAAGCCTCCTGCCCCCCACCAGGACATCAGACTGCCCTTGAACTTGTCTGTAACACCGCTTTGTCTGAGTGTCATCTGGGAACAAGTCATGGGGCCAGGGCTTTTGCCAGCCGCCCAGTGGGCAGAGTGGAAGTTCTGTTGACCTTGATGTCATTGGGAGGCCTGTGCTTATTGGCTCAGGGCATCAGGGGTCATTACTAACATCCTCAAAAATGCCAAGGGCAGGTGGTAGGGAACAGAGGAGTCCTAGAGAAGGACTGGGACACTTCATCTTTCTGTGTAAATCATATTTATGTCAAATACTTTAAAATAGAGATCGAGGGAGTGGCTCAGTAGCCGAGTGCTTACTGAGTATGTTCAAGGCCCTAGGTTTGATCTCTAGTGTTAAAAAAAAAAAAAAATTGAAATAGTCGGAGGACTCAGCATGGGTGCTGAAAGAGGGTGGCAGGGGCCTGGAACTGCAGCTCCTGTGGGCACAGGGTGGAGCAGCAGGTGGGGATGACCAGCCACAGGTGTGTCCACCCCAACTTTGGATTTCCCCAAATAGTCCTGGCTTTAAATATTTTGACTGAGTTGTCTTTTTACAGAAAAACAAGTTCCAAAGCAGAATCCGTTTCTAGGATTTTGATCTAGGCCTTTGGAAAACTCAAAGCTCTATCTAGGACAGCTGGAACCCCCATCCCAGACCCACAGGCAGGAAGAAGGCTCTGGCCTTTAGGAGTCAGGGGTACATGCTCTCTCCAGACCCAAGCAAGGCCAGTGACTCTGTCCCATGAGGCACAGCCATATTCCTGGGCTTAGCAGGAGGTGCTGGTTTATGGAGCCTGTCACCCAACAGGAGTAAAGGGCGGACTCATCTGCTCCCTGCTGGTCACAGCTGGACCTGCAAGCAGTGACTCTGGCCACACCCAGCCCCACACTAAGCTTGCTGCTTAAAACTAAAATCTTGAGACCTTGGCCAGGCCCTGCATCCCAATTCTGGGTGAAGTTGGGTGGGTAATCCACCCGTGTTCTCTGAAAGGTGGGGTGGATTTGGACAGGGAGTGCCAGGGATCCCTGAAGGTCCTAATAACAAAGGACCAAGATGAGCAGTGAGAATCTGTCCCCAGCTCTGCACCACCCCTGCAATGGGAGGCCTCTGGTTTCCAGGCTCAGGTCACAGCCAGACTTCCCTTGTGACTTCTCACTCTGCTCTATTTACCTTGAAGCTGAGCTGGGGGTGGGATGAGGTGGGGAGTCGTTGCCCCCCCCCCGCCTCCTCCTCTTCCTCCTTCTCCCCACCCTCTTCCCCACTCTCCTCCACAACCCCTTCCCCCTCCTCCTCACACAGATCCTTGTCACTGTTCCCTTTTGTCCTGCACTACCCCTTCCCCCTCCTCCTCACACAGATCCTTGTCACTGTTCCTTTTTGTCCTGTGTTGGATGTAGCTACCTCATCTGTCAAGGGTATCCTGTACGCAAAGTGGCTAGCTTTCCTGGCCTTCTGTGTTCCCAAACCCGATTGCTCTGAAAAGTTGACTGGACAAGAGTCAATGCCCTCTTGGACAGCCTGGTTGCTAACTTCACAGCCTCGTGTGCAGGCAGCAGGCTGGTTCTTCTCTAAGGCCCTTGCAACCTCTGCTCTCCCCTTCCCAGAATTATTCATTTATTTTTTTGATTCTTTTTTTTCTTTCTTTCTTTTTTTTTTTGAGGCAGGGTCTCCCTGCAGCCCCAGCTGGCCTGGAACCTCCTGTATAGACCAGGCTGGCCTCAGTCTCACAGAGCTCCACCTGTCTCTGCCTCCTCAGTGTTCCAGGCTCAGTGGTTAAGAGGTCTTCCAAGGACCCGGGTTTGGTTGCCCTCATCCAAATGGCAGCTCACCACTGTCTAACTCCAGTTTCAGGGGATCTCATGCCCTCTTCTGGCTTCTGTGAGCATTGTATGCACATGCTGCACTTAAATACATAAAGGAGGCAACACAGTCATACACATAAAATAAAAACAAATACTAAAACAAAAAAAAAGTAAAATGATTCAGGCATGTCACAGTCTAAGAAGGGAGAGCTTCATTGCCTGTACTGACGGCTACCTTTGCTGCTTGAGTTCTGAAGAGTTAGGGAATGCCTGAAGGCGGTGAAGACACCATCCCTCTGCACCCACCCTTAGACAGTCTTATCAGGTGTGTCCTCTCCTAGCCTAGGGGCCTCTGGGTCTAGGCACCGGCTGACCTGGAAGTGGTCTGCCAGGTTTGTAGGGGGTTAAGGCACCAGGTCTGAGCAACCACCGAGGCTCTGGGCAACCTAAGGTGGCTATTACTTTAAACAGCCTTTGGTGCAGTAAAAAAGTCCCTTATGATATTAGGGTTGAATTATATATAAATATCCTCCTTGAAAGGCTATGTTGCTGGATGTGTGGTCCACACCTTTAACCAAGAGGCAGAGACAGGTGGATCTCTGTGAGTTTGAGGCCTTGGTCTATACAACAAGTGCCAGGCCAGCCAGGGCTACAAATAAGACCCTAGTTTAAAAAAAAAAAAAAAAAGATATGTTGAAAGCAGACAGGCTTGGTGGCACACAGATATAATCCCAGTACTCAGGAGGCTGACACAAGAGGATGGAGAGTTCAAGGCCAACCTGAGCAATTTACTAGACCCTGTGGTTGTGGCAGGGCACTTGGCTGTTCTATTACTTTCCTTGCTGTGACAAAAGCAACTTAGAAGTTTATTTTGGCTCATTTGAAGGTACAGTGTATCAGTGCCATGAAGCCTTGGCAGGAGTGTGAGGCAGGTGGTCACGCTGTCTGAAGTCAGAAAGCAAAGGGAGATGAACTATGGGCAGCCAACTTGCTTTCTCCTTTATATTCACTGGACCACACCCCACACCCAATAGGGCAGCACCCCCTGTGTGAAGAGGCAAGCAGGGGCTTCATAGTGTGGAAGCCCACTGAGGGAATCGGTCACTCAGAGCAAGTCCATCACAGGAATGGTTCCCACCCAGGGTCCTCCCCAAGTCCTTTGGCCATCTAAAGTGTACCTGGCACCAGTCAGGGTTCCAGACTCTCAGAAGGTAGGAGGCTACCTCTAGCATCTAGCCTCTCATTTGTGGGGTAACCCCTTGTAGGCCATTGGCCCCCCTTACTCCTATTGCCTTCAAAGCACTGTCAACAGCTGCTGGCCATGCTGCAGTCAGGGAGACTAAACCCCGACTCTTCAACTTACGTGTTTATCTGACAAGGCCAGAGCTCACATGATCTCAGCCTCCACAGTTCCCTGAGGTCTGGTGCTGTCTGTCCTCCAAACTGGGAGTTTTCACAGGATTTATGGAGTATAGCCTGTTGGCCAAGAGGACCCAAGGGCCCAAGGGACGATGGCAGACACTCTGCAGAGCCCTCCTCTCCCCCTGTGGCCTTACCAGCCCAGTCTCCTGAACTACTGGGGTCTGGCCCGAGGGCACTAAACTTTGAAGCAAACAGGCCATCTGCAGTCAACACACCCAGTTACTTCAGGTTATAAACCATTCCAAAGTTTGGTAGGCACTGATTTTATTAATAAGTCACATGATTCAGAAGAAAGATACTCAAAGACATTTAGTAAAACAGTGCGTTGTCCCAAAGGGTAGGCAGAGAGGTTAAGGCACAAGTGGCGCTTAAAAGATACAACAGACTGAAGTGGAAATGCAGTTTGTGTACACACACACAAACACGTGGCACACCTGGCATCGACAGCAGTCAAGATGACCAGCCTGGCACCAGGAAAGTGGGCTGGCAGCTCAGATAAGTCAAGTGACTCCAGGAGGCTGACATCATCTCACAAGCAGGCATTCCAATGACGGGACAGCTCCCAGCCTTTTCTTTCTGCTTCTTTACTAGCACAGTCCCTGCTGTGGGGTAAGCGCACTCTAAATCACCTGGGAGCTCACAAGGTCGGGTAAACAGCTCTGACATTCCAAGTGGAATGGTTTTCCATTGAGAAGGGAAAACAAAGCAAAGCCTGTCTCAGGCCCTGGGAAGTCCCAGAAAGCACTGTGAGAGCCCTGGACCTGCCAATGGAAGGACCTAAGGGCCTGGAAAGCACCCCGCCCAGGCCCAGCTCCTATGTAAAGGCAGTCACTGCTGCCAAGAGGGCAGAGCTGGGACAGGCAGGCAAGGCGCTCATATCCAACCCTCCTTTTCCAATGTCTTCAGGAAAGAAGCGATGATTTAAGTCACTGGGGCTGGCTCTAGGGTGTGTCGCAGCTCTGAGGCTAACAAGTCAATCTCTGAGCCTTCTTCCACCCAAAGCAGATGCAACAAGAAGAAAATCTAGCCCAGATCACAGGACAAAGACAGGACGGGTCAGGGGCCATTTGGACTCAACGAGGCAATAAGAGGCTGTTCAGGAGGGTTTTTCCAGTGTGAACTATGGATCTGCTGGGCCAGCTGGTCTTAGGACAGTCACCTTTTGGCACAGGGACATGAACAAAAGGAACCTTCCTTCTCTGCTCAGCATCTCAGCCTGCAGGAGGATCTGGGTGAAGGCCCCCTCCCTGGCTCCTTCCAGTCAGTCGTAACAGCCCCTGAGGGCTGGGGGCAGCCTGTTCTGATAGTGTGGGTGGAATGCCAGCAGAAGGAATGCGAGACACAGTCATTAAGGTCCCAGAGAAGGCCCAGGGCAGACAGTGAGCTGGCAGGTCCTGAGCACTGATGCTCAGCCATGGCCATCCGAGCTGCCAGCAGTCCCTTCAGAGTGGAGGATGCGGCTCACTTCTAGATGGGCAGGAAGGGATGCCTGTGCAGGCAGCAGGAGCAGCTGAGGTATCAGTCAGCTGCTGGGCCCAGAGTCCAGGGAAGAGAAGACGGGTAACAGAAGACCAGCTCTGCCCAGTCCAGGCCGCTTGGCAGGTTGAGGCGTCACTTTTCTGTGGCCTGAAGCACCTGTGGACCCTGTACGGCGCCCTGCCCAGGTCCAGGGCCCCCAGGTGTCTTCTTCTGCCTGGCTTGCCTTCTTCAGGCCTGCTCCAGGCTGTCGGTGGGCTGCACCACGGTGTAGCTTCCCTGGCCAGTGGAGAGCTGCCGGCTGAAGAAGGACGTGGTGCGCTTCGGCTTCACCCGCTTGATCACCTTACCTGTGAGGGAGAGAGCAACAGGCTAAGGGGAGGAGCTGGGGGGGGGCAGGCTCTGCCAGGATGGCCTTTTCCAGGGTCCCTTTGGGCTGAGCTTCCCCTCCAGATCTACCATGTATCTGAGCCTGTTCCTACCCCTCAGCTTTCACCAGTGGCAGATGTGGGGTGCATGAGTATCCTCACAAATCTCAGATGGAGGCAGTGAATGATCCTGGACTAGCTCCCCTGAGCAAGTGACTTTGAGACAAGTACCTGCATCCAGGAGGCTAAGGCAGGCCTACATAGTGAGTTCCTGGCCAGCTAGGGCTATACGGAGACCCTGTCTCAAAAAGACCAAAAACAAAAAAAAATAACACAATCCCAGTGCTACTTGGGGGGTGCAGGAATATCAGAAGTTCAAGGTCATCCTTGGCTATATGTGGAATTTGAGATCAACCTTGAAGGATAAATGAGATATAGTAAAAGAAAAAATAACAAGGCCAGCTTGCTATTAGGAGGAGAACCGGCTGCTGCCACTTATATCATGATACGGGTCGCCACCTCCCCAAATAAATAAGCGTGATTTTAAAAAAGGAAAAGTCAGGGCTGGAGAGATAGTGCCGCGGTTAAGAACACTTGACTGTTCCTGCAGAAGACCTGGGTTCGAATCCCAGCACCCATATGGCAGCTAACAACTGTCTGTAACTACAGTTCCAGGGAATCCGACAGCCTCTTCTGTCCTCTGTGGGTATTGCACAACATGGGTGCGCTTACCTACATGCAGGCAATACACACATACACATAAAATAAAAAATAATAAAATATTTTAAAAAGGAAAAGTCAAAAGCCAGGTGTGGTGGCACACACCTTTGATCCCAGCACTTGGCAGGCAGAGACAGGCGGATCTCAGTGAGTTCAAGGCCAGCCTGGTCTACATAGTGAGTTCCAGGACAGCTGGGGCTACAGGGAGACCCTGTCTCAAAAAGACACCCCCCCCCAAAAAAAAGGAAAAGTCAAAAACAAAAGAAAAAAAATGATGTGATGTCCTGGAAAGGACCCCAAAATAGGATATTACATAAAAACTAAGGAAAAGAATTTTAGTTCCTTTTTTTTTTCTTTTGGTCCTTTAGAGACATGTTGGGAGCCTCTGTTATGCAAAGTCGAAGCCCCTTCACACCGGACAGCTCATGCAGCTCGGGATTATGTGCTGCGGGCTCCTTTCATAGCGGGGTGTCTTCCTGGCATCTTTCCTGTCTCTCCTTTTGAAGTGTCCGCCACAAATGCCATAACATAAACATAGCCTTTGGCTCTGAAAGGTACCATGCCTTCCTGTAATTTCTCCAGGCAGACAGCAGTCTGGCAGAAACCCACTTCCATATGTAAACAGAATGTCTCACAAAGTATCTAACAGCCAAAGCTTTTACCACTACCCCCATGGTATAAATATCCTAGTCTTCTCTCATAATAGTGGGAGATCGGGTCAGAGACTGAGTCCCAGAGATTGGGTCCCAGAGAGAATAAAGCTGTAAGCACAGACTGAGCCAGCCGAGTCTTGAGTCCTGTGCCTTACTACCGGCGACCTAGCCTCTCCGGGGGACGCACTCCCTCGTGACCGACTTGCGGACATTCCTAGCTTTCGCTGTCCTCGTACTCTTCCCATGGGGTTCAGTGGCCAGTGGACCTCGCATCCTGAGGAAAAGTACACGGGTGGAAAAGGGACAGGATCAGGCTGGACAATGCTCCAGTAGCAGAGAAGCTTTCAGCACCGGAGCGGCGGACAGCGACCTATCTGCTGCCGCTCCCAGAGACGCCTGTGGCCAGAGCCGTGCTGTGACTCGCCAGGTCTGGCGAGGACCCCGAGATCCAGGGGCCCAGAGCGACCCCGAGATACCCGCGCACACCACGCCTGAGGCCCATAGAGACACGGAGAAGCCCGCGGGACCAGACCTGCTTTCCTCCAGACACCCGGTGGGGGAGTGCCATTCTGGAAGTGCGCCCAGAGAGCGCGCGCACGCCCATAGAGACAGGGTCTCCCTGTAGCCCCAGCTGGCCTGGGACTCACTATGTAGACCAGGCTGGCCTTGAACTCACAGAGATCCACCTGCCTCTGCCTCCCAAATGCTGGGACTAAAGGCGTGCACCACCACACCCAGCTAGTTTCTTTTTTTTTAAAATGAAGATCTCATGCAGCCTACATAGGCTGGCCTAGAACTTCTTATATTGCCAAGGGTGGCTGTGAACTTTCAATCTTCTTGCCTTCACCTTTCGAGTGCTAGAAGGATGGATGTATTCACCATACCCAGCTCTAAAGATAATGTATGAAGGAGGCTGGAGAGATGGCTCAGCACAAGGTGCGGCTCCTCTTACAGAGGACCTGGGTTTGGTCCCAGCATCCACATGGCAGCTAAGAGCCATCTGTAACTCCAGTTCCAGGGAACTGGATGCTCACTTCTGGCCTCTCTGGGCACTGAATAAACATGAGGCACATATATACACCAGGCAAACGCTCATACACATAAATAAATCTTTAGAAAAACATATCAAAGGGCTGGAGAGATGGCTCAGCAGTTAAGAGCACTGGCTGCTAGAGGACCTGGGTTTGGCTCCCAGTACCCACATGGTGGCTAACAACCATCTGTAACTCCAGTTCCAGGGGAATCCAATGCCCTCTTCTGACTTCCAAGGGCGCTACATGACACAGGTGCACCTGCATACGTGTAGGTAATACACTCATACACGTAAAGCATATTTTTTAAAATGTATCAAAATCAGGTCATTAATTTTAACAAACAAGAGGACCATATTACTGTAAGATGTTAATTTTGCTTTGTTTTTGATGCTAGGGGTGGAACCCTGGGCCTCAAGCATGCTAAGAAAAATGGACAGTAAATCACAAAGGAAATGTTTGTTTTGGAAATTGTTTTTGTTGTTTTTGTGTGTGGCTGACAGGGTCATACTACAGTCTAGGCTGGCCTAAAACCTGAAGTGATCCTCCTGCCTCAGCCTCCTGAGTGCTGGGATTATAGGGTATACCACCATGCCTGGATTACTTTGTGAACATTTTCCCACTTAAATGTATATTTATGGATTGGAAGTGTAGCTCAGTGGTATTTCCCTGGCATGCATGAAATCTTCAGCTCTAGTCTCCACCCCCAAAGTAAATAAAAGTACATTTAGAGGTTTGCACAGCAGTAAAAGAATCCTTTTCAGAAAAAGAATGATTTACGTCCACATGTGCCCCATGTGTAGCAGTCAGAGGATGGTCTGTGGAGCTGGCTCACTCTTTCCACTGTGTGGGTCGTGGGGATGAAGCTTAGAAGCTAAGGTCTTCAGCCTGGTGGCAAGTGCCTTCCTCTGCTGAGCCATCTCGTGGTTCCTTCCTGTTTTTCATGTTCTGGAACATGCTGCCACGGACATGTTTGTGGGTGCAACAGTATGAAGAGGCAAATAGGGCTGGGCGTGGTGGCGCACGCCTTTAATCCCAGCACTTGGGAGGCAGAGGCAGGCAGAGCTCTGTGAGATCAAGGCCAGCCTGGTCTACTTAGTGAGTGCCAGGCCAGCTGGGGCTACCGAGAGCCCGTCTCAAAAAGAGCAAAAACAAGAAGTGGCAGATAGGGAAATGCACGGAGGGGGTTCCTACCAGGAGCCCACCCACCCTATCCAGAACTGCTGGGGACCGCCTACACTCTGGAGTGCCTGTGGCATGTGTGTGCATGTGCTATGTGTACTATGCATGTACACTGTATGTGGTACCATCACATGGTACGGTGGCTCACCGTCTTCCACGTAATCGATGGTAGAGAGATGCTGGATCCGGCTGCACACCACGCTGCCCTGCCTCCGCAACTTGGGGCGCTGAGTGGGAGGTGGAGAGGGGCTGGGGGCTGAGTGGAGGCCAGATGCGCTCTCCTGGGGAGCAGCAGGCTCGGTGGCCTGGTTCAGCTCGATGCAGTACTCAATGAGGCCACTCATCAGCTCAGCCTAGGGAGAGAAAGGGAGTGGTGTCAGGATTGCTAAGGGACATGAGTTAGGCATGCAGCTCTAAGCCTTTGCGCTGTGGTGGGGGCAGGTGGCAGGGGAGGGGAGGAGAGAAGAGACAGGCATTCTGGGGGTCCGAGGGCAGGGGAGGCTGTCCACTTGAATTAACTTCAGAGGTAAGGTCTGGGTGAGTGGGGTTCCTAGGAATGGGAGGTGGCATAAGAAAGGAGGTCGCTCTAGTCAGAAGGCACAGCCTAGGAAGACCTAGGGCCTGGAGCGGGTAAGGGAAGCCGAGTAGAGCTTCTAAACTCTCAGCTGCCAGAGAGGGGGATGGGGGTCTGGGCTGAAGGAAGCCAAGCCGCCTTTGTGTTAGCTAGTAGATGCTCTTGGCTCAAGAAGAGGGTGATGTTACTGGCAGGGGCCGCTCCCTCTGAGCACATTCTTCTAACTGCGATACCTCGAGAGATTAGAAACAGACACCTTTTGACACAAAGGTGTAGTTGTGACATGTCTAGGGGCAGAGATGGACACTATGGCAACAGCCCAGGGCAGGGTCACAGAGGGTGTCCCTCTGTCAGGAAACAAGTTTACTGAGCAGCTGCTATGTGCCTGGCCCTGCACAGGAATTGGGTGCCTTGGACCCCTGTTATCTCCTGTTCTGTGAGAACTGAGAACTGAGCTGGTCAGGTACCTGGGGCTGGTGTCACAGACACTGGTCCAGCTCCTGCCTGTCCAGTGTGGCCTGAGGTTTTGGCAGTAGTCTAGCCCAGCCTGAGGAGGAGGACAAGGGTAGGCGAGCTTGTGGCCTCAGAGGAAGAGGCCTTCAGGCCTCAGTCTGCACATGCTCAGGCTACCTCTCACTGGGCAAATGCCACCAGCTAAGTGTGGTGGTGAGCTATAGAACCAGTGATGACCAGTGGGGACAGAAGGCCATGGTGACCTGAAACACCAGGGTCATGGTGAACTGCAAATAGCCAGTTAAGGTCCCTGAACAGAAGCAGCTCAAATGCTGCCATTTGACACATCCTCCCATGATCCTGCGGTGAAATTCAGCCAGTGGGGCTATGAGGAGATTTCCTAGCTTGCCCAAAGGCATGGAGGAAGCCCGGAGGGAACCCCATGCTGCTGAGGGGAAAGAGCATGCTTTCCTTGGGTCGGGCAGGTCAGAGCTGGGTGTGTACACCTGTCTATTCAGCAGTCAGGACTGCACTCTGTCAAGCTGGAAGAGCGACAGTGTAGCAGGCACATGCTGGGAGGTGAGCTGTCACCATCTACAACCTAATCGGCTACACGGAAAACCCTGGAGCCAGCAGGGGCCTACCAGGACTACAGAGAGACAAACCAGCCGTGTTTCTTTCTTCCTGTGAAGCAGGAATTACTAGGCAGACTGGCCTTTTTTTTTTTTTTTTTGGTCTTTTTTTGAATAAAGTTTCTTTCCTGTAGCCCCAGCTGGTCTGAAACTTGCTATGGTAGACCAGGCTGGCTTTGAATACACAGAGATCCGCCTGCCTTTGCCTCCCAAGTGCTAGGATTAAAGTTGTGCTACCACACCTGGCCAGACTGGCCTTGAACTCATTATCTCCTTTCCTCAGTGTCACCAGTGCTGGGACTGCAGGCGCAAGCCTCCACACCTGGCTTCAAAGATTTTTTTTTCTTTTTTTAATGCAGAGGCAGGCGGATCTCCGTGATTTCAAGGCCAGCCTGGTCCACATAGTAAGCTCCAGGCCAGCTGGGGCTACAGGGAGATCCTGTCTCAAAAAGACAAAAAAAAAAAAAAAATTATGTGTACTTGCACCTGCGTACGGGTGTGTCCACTTGAATGTAACTCCCTAGAGCTGGAGTTACAGGCACTGAGCTGACTGACATGGGTGCTGAGAACCAAACTCGGGTCCTCTACAAGAGCAGAATTTGCTCTTAACTGCTGAGCCCTCTCCAGTCTCTCAAAAGGCTTTAAAAATATTTCAGAGTGCTGAGTGTAGTGGTGCACACCTTTAATCCTATCATCTGGGAGGCAGAGGCAGGTAGATCTCTGTGAGTTCAATGTTAGCCTGGTCTACATTCCAGGCCAGCAGGGGCTACATAGTAAGACTGTCCCAAAACACCTGCCTCTGCCTCCCAAGTGCTGGAATCAAACGCCTGGCTACGCACACACAGTTTTAAAAATAAACTTAAAAAAATAAGGCTGGATGTGGCTCAGTTGGTAGAATTCGTTTGCTTAGCATACATAAAGTCCTGGGTTCATTCCTTAGTACCACAAAAAAACAGGGTTTGGTGGCACATACCTGTAATCCTAGGACTCAGGGGGTAGAGACAGGAAGATCAAATGTTTACGGTCATCCTCAGCTACATACCAAGTTTGAGGCCACCCTGGGCTACATGAGACTCTGCCTAAAAAGGGGGCAGGGGACTGGAGAGAAGGCTCAGTGGTTAAGAGCACAGGCTTTTCTTGCAGAGGACCTGGATTTGGTTCCTAGCACCTACGTGGCAGCTAACCGCCATCTAGAACTCTTAATTCCAGGGGTTCTGCTGCCCTCTTCTGGCCTCTGTGGGCTTCACATGCATGTGGTGACTGACATGCTGAGAAACAAAATAATAAAAACCAAAAATAAAACAAAACAAACTGATAAAATGATTTCGTCAGAATTATAAACATCTCAAGAGACAATGTCGCCAGGTTATACTCCCAGCACGAGGAAGGAAGGCAGATTCTGAGTTCCAGACCAGCCTGGTTACATAGTGAAAAAAAAGACTTAAAAAAAAAAAAAAAAAAAGCCAGGCATGGTGGCGCATGCCTTTAATCTCAGCACTCAGGAAGCAGAAGCAGGCGGATCTCTGTGAGTTCAAGGCCAGCCTGATCTCCATAGTGAATCCAGGCCAGCTGTGACTATAGGGAGACCCCAACTCAAAAAGACCAAAAACAAACAAACAAATAAAAAATGACCAAAAAAAAAAAAAAGAAAAGAAAAGAAAATGAAAAGTGAAGTTATACACTGCAAGGAAGTATCTGCCAACATCTGACAAAGGACTGGCGTGCAGGACGGGAACAAGCCCTCACAGTTTGTGAAGAAAACAACCCAACGAAAAAGCAGACAAATGGTTTGCACTGACAGGGCACAAAAGATCTGTGGGCAGCACTTAACGAACTCGTGGAGAGACAATCAGCATGATTAGTCATTAGGCAGGTACAAGTTAAAACTGCACTGACCCACCCCACTGCTTGGCATTGTTGCAATGGCAAACAAATAAAAACTAGCAGTAGTGGCTGGAGAGATGGCTCAGCAGTTAAGAACACTGGCTGTTCTTGCAGAAGACCAGGGTTCGAATCCCAGCACCCACATGGCAGCTAACAACTGTCCGTAACTCCAGGGGATCCAACAGCCTCTTCTGTTCTCTGCAGGCATTGCACGACATGGTGCACTTACCTACATGCAGGCAATACATACACACAAAAAATAATAAAATATTAAAAAAAAAACAAAAACGACAGTACCCAGTGCTTGCCACCACGTGGAGCAACGGGCCAAAATGAAGCACAGTGCAGATGGGAGCTCTGGTAAACAGTCTGCCCATTTCTAACAAAACATACTCATGTTCACCACATGATCCAGAAATATCACTCCCAGGTTTTTGAGAAAAAAAAAGGGTCTACACCCACATAAAAGCCATATGCAAATGTTCCGAACAGCTTACTGCAAAAGTCAAAACTGGAAAGACCTCCCTGTTCAACAGGAAAGTCAGCTGCTGTGCACTGGGAAGTCGAATACCACTGGACGATAAAGAGGCATGAACTGGGCCTTGGGGTAGCTCAGTGATGGAGAAAGGACCACACGATGTGCATGAACCTCAAAGCCATGCTGCTTGGTGGAAAGAAGGCGGTCTCAAGCCATCGTGACTTGGTGAAGAGTCGAATTCAATTAGTGTTTCTAGTTGCCACTTGGCAGACTATGTTTCCAACATTTTGGAAGACCAGAGATGCTGGCAGGAGACACGTGTTTTTAAGGTTGGAGTTCCTGGCACTTGTCTGAATGCCGAAGGAAATAATGGGGAGTAAGAACAGTCCCAGAACGAGTGCAGGGACAGTGCTGACCTGGCCTAAGTGGGGGGAGGACAGCAGAATGGATGGTGGGAGGAAAGAATGGATTCCCCCAATGCAGGCCCTCAGGGCCTCACCTTTCTGCACCTGTTCCTCACAGCTCTCCGGGGCTACTGCAACAGCTGCTCGGTCAGTGCAGAGGCTCTTAAGAGACAGCTGCCCAGCCTGCAGCTGCCACCCCTGCTGTGCAATCATAGAGCAGGTGCAAAGCTCACCAGGGTACAAGCCAGGCGTCCTCTTCCCAGGTCCTGCGCAGTGCTCCAACCTCCTTCCCAGACACCCAGGAGCCTGCATGGTCTCGGGCTTCTGGGGACCCGGACTTGGCATCCCTACCCCTGGGTGCATGTGACAACAGCACTACCTGCTTGGAGTAGATCCTGAGCAGCTTATTTACTGGAGTGCCCTCACTGTCACCATCAAACTCCAACCACAGGATGGGCTCCTCCTCCTCGGGGGAAGTGTGGTCCCATGACAGCTCCTGGAAATGCAGGCCCAGCAGGACATGCTGGCCAGAGGGAGACAAGAACACTGTGAGGTCTCCTACTTCCCATCAGGCCCTCCTCAGACCACCCAGAGGAGACACTTAACTAGGGCATCTGCTTCTCTACATGGAGTCTGAATTTCTTCCTGTGTCTCCAAGGACAAAGAGGCCCAGGTCCTATCATCCTGCACCAAGGGCTGGATCCAGGGAGGCCAGGAACTCCTAGTCCTCAATGCTTCCCTCCAGTGGGTCAGGCCCCGATGGTCAGGGAGTCAGCCAAGGCCAGGGTTCTTCCCCTGGCATGTCAGGGCACAGGTCCCTCTGGGGACAGAAAGATGTGCTGCCAGCCGAGGAGTGAGGCTCCTACCCAGTTACAGGGAGGGACAGTGATACTACTGTCTACAGTAGGAGCCAGAGGTGAGGCAGTCACCATACATAGGGAGCCCAAAGGGCCTCCCAGCCCAGGGGCTTTCTGGAAAATGGTCAGTTTTCACCATTGGCCAGGTGGAGTGGCAAGGTGCTGCCCGACCCCACCCCCTTGAAGGCAGACTCTCAGCTGCCACTCCTCTGTCCCAGCATGGCCAGCCGAGTGCACCAGTTCGAAAAGCTGACGCAGTCAGACCTAAGGGAGACTCCAAAACACAAGAGTAGGACTCCAGAGACATCTGTGGGACACAGGGTCACCTCTACACACGTCCATTCAATATTGCCCTGGAATGCCCACAGGCCCAGCAGTATCAAGAAGGTCCAGGCAAGACCCCTACTCCCTTCAGCCCCACCCCAAGGACACGGGCAGAGGTGGTACCTTCTCCCTGCAGTCAATGACATGCACGCCCTCCAGACTGATGGCCACCGTCACTGCTTTGCGCCCACCCCGATGCAGAAAGCCCTGGGCTGGCTTGTCCACCTCACCATGGAAGAAGGCACACCTGGAGAAGGGGCTACTGTCAGCTGCTTCCTCCAGCACCTGACATGTGTGGGGACGCTATTCTGGGCCCCTGAGAAGCTTAAGCTGCTTGTGTGACTGAAAATTACCCAGAGGCCTGCCCTGAGGAAGACAGAAATGGGGTGAGGAGGCAGCACAGAGTGGCACCTCACTGGTTGCATAGGAGTGGATTGAGCAGGTGGGAGGAGGAAATGGATGGGGGCTGTAGGCAGAGAAAGAACACAAACCCAGGTCAAGGGACAGAGCCAGCTGTATCAGGGACCCAAGGAACCCAGGGCCTCAGCAGAGGGTGGGGTTGAGGTAGCTGTGGTCTCCAGTTCACTGAGCCCACTATACACCGTCCAGAGCCAAGGTCTTCTAGAAGGGACACTCAGGAGCCAAGCACTGCCTTAAGACTAAGAAGGAGGGATGGAGACATGGCTCAGCAGTTAGGAACACTGGCTACTCTTGTGGAGAACCCAGGTTTGGTTCCCAGTATCCACATGGCAGCTAACAACTGTCCACTTCCAGTTCCAGGGGATCCAACACCCTCTTCTGGCCTCCTTGGACACTGCATGCATGTGGTACACTTACATACATGCAGGCAAAACACACACACACACACACACACACACACACACACACACAAAGAAGGGGAAAGTGAGGGTGGTCTCAGTGCGGTGAGTTGCCCAGCTGTTGACTCCTTCATGGCTGGCTCCATCCTTACCCAGCTTAAGGTTCACCCTTGCCTCTTGCACTTGGCTAAGCCAATGTTTGAGTCAAATCCAGCTCTTTCCATGGAGGGGGCTGGAGGTGAATGCACACTCCTCTTCTGGATAATTCTACGCCCTTCCCAACTCCCAGGTTCAGCTGATGAGGACACTTTAGCAGTCAGAAGACCCCCCCACCCCCGGCTTTTCACTCTCCTGGATCATGGTTAGTGAGCATGCGCACTGACACAGATATCACTTGGTCTATCATAAAAAGCAGCAAATCCTTGACCCCACTGGGCCCACACCTCCACACCTCCACTTTCCATGAGAGCTGGGGACTCTGTCTCAAGCCTTTTCCTCATTCTCCCTCTCCTCCACCCAAAACCAATCCTCAGCACAAAGATGAGCTGAACATAAACCTGAAGCTGCAGGATGAGGCTGGTGGCACCTGGCTTGTAGACACTCCTGCCTGGCCAGACTCCCCTCTCCCAGACCTCTCTTCCATTCACCTCCCTGGCCATTTCTTGGGGCTCCAGATTTGAAACAGAATTCACCTATCATCCTTTCAGGCCCAGACTAGAAACCCAAAACCATGTGGAATCACCACCCAGGCATCTAATGGACATCTATAAACCAGGCACATCCCAAACCAAGTTCCCATCTTCACTGACCTGCCCACTGCAGCTCTTATCCTTGCAAATGACAACCAGATCGGTCACTAGTAATAGGCTAGAACCTTGGAGAACCATCTTCTCCCCTCACCTTTCCTACCAACACATCTCCCTACCAACTCCTGAGAGTCCACCCTCAGAGTGACATCAGAACCTGACCACGTTCCTCGTCGCCATGGGCAGAGCTGTCCGTCTCTGATTATTGTCCCCTCCTCTGCTCTCCTGGCTGCCACTTACAGGTGACCCTCTACTCTGCCCTCAGAGGGCAGCACCTCACCGAGGGCTCACTGACACTCCTGCAGTGTGAAGGGCATGGCTGGCACGAGACTTATTTGTTAACTAGCTGAAATGCCAATCAGCCAGGCCAGTGAACATGGGACTGCAGCGGTGGGAGGAGAGGACTCATAGGGTGTCCTAGCTTGAGATGGGAGGAAGACCAGGCATCCAGCTTGGGATCAGTGCCAAGCCAGCTCTCCAAGGGAGGGAAGGCTGCACCAGACCACGGGCTCATTGGCTACCACACTGGCCAAGTCCAGGGTCAATCTGCTAGGCTGCCAGGAGAGGGGACAAGAACCCCCAAGACACACCACTCACCCATAGAAGGGTAGCTCATGGCACTTGAGGAGGTAGGCACGGTAGTGGGAGCCCAAGGTGGCCTCACGCTCACTGCCACTGACTGATGTTTCCTTCACCTGGCGGTAGGCATTCAGCAGACCCTGCTCTCCAGGCCCAGTCTTGGCCCCACGGCCCCGGAAGGCAGCAAAGAGGCCATGGCCTCGCTTGCAGAGGTGGGCAGGGAGGAAGGAGTCCAGCTTCTCCCTGTAGAGGAAGGGAAGTGGGTGGTGGTGGCGCCTCCAGAGGTGCTGAGGTCTTCAGTGTGTGGGTACCATGCTTAGGCGGGCAGGGCCTGGCATGTGGCACGGCTTAGGGACTTCAGGCCATTACAAGCTCTAGCACAGGGATGCCAGAGGCCCTGCTCTGACGAGTGACTGCAGAGATGCCCACTGTCCCCACCTCAGCAGTGGCCTGCTCAGCCTGGTACATAGCGACAACCCTGACTCATGGGCAAGGTCCACTGTTGAGGGGGTGTGCGCTCTCCTCCATTAAAAGGAAACGGGGTTCCCAGAAGAAAGGGTGGCCTGCTCAGCCTGGTACATAGCGACAACCCTGACTCATGGGCAAGGTCCTCCATTAAAAGGAAACGGGGTTCCCAGAAGAAAGGGACACACAAGAATTTCAAGCCAAGGATGGGATCCAAGGGCAGCAGGCACAGGCAGATCAGAGCCCCTCCAGGGGATAGGCTCTGTAGCCACTGTGGCTGCCACAGCAAAAAACACCTGCTGTGATGTCTAATCCTGGGTGCCAATTTAACTGGATCTGGGATTAACTGAAATCAGAGTGATCTTCTCATGATTGGATCATCTGAAGCTGAAAGACACACCCTAAATGTGGGTGTTACCTTCTGATGGCAGCTCCCATAAAAGGCCATGGCTAGGGGCTGGAGAGATGGCTCAGTGGTTAAGAGCACGGACTACTCTTGCAGAGGACCCAGGTTCGATTCCTAGCATCCACATGGTGGCTACGAACCGTTCTTAACTCCAGTTCCAGGGGAATCCGAGGCCCTCTTCTGACCTCGGGTGCACTCACATACATGCAGACAATACACTCATCCACATAAAATAAAAATGAAATAGAATTTTTAAAAAGGCCATGGCCAAAGAGAGCACTAGCTTTTTGCCGCTGGCCTTCTCTCTCGCTGGTGAGTTCATCTTGCTGCTGTAGACTGAAGACTATCCGATCGTTTGGAATTCATCAGACCTTCAGTGCTAGATTGGGACTACTGAGACATCCAACCTCGTGGACTGAGTGACTACGGCTTCTCAGCCTCACAGCATGGACGCTTAAACCACACAGGTGAAGTGTATTAGTCAGGGGTCTCCAAATCCCTATACATATATGTATATATATATATATGTATAGGGATTTATCAAATATATTATATATATATAAAATACATATATACATACATACATATACATACATTCATTCTACTGGTTCTGTTTTTTATTAATACATCTACCTAGCTGCAGAATGGGAACAGAGATGCCACCGCTGTTCCTGATAACAGCTGTCCTAACACAAAAATATGGCAAAGCTTTTCAAGCAGAAGCCCAGGATTACGGCAGGAGCACACAAGGGCAGGCTGGGGTCACCAACTAAGGCCACATTCCTACCTGCTCAGTCCTGCTGCACTGGGCCCCTGGGCCCCTTTCCTTCCACTAGGCCTGCCTTGGTCATTCCTCGCAAACACTCCCTCACCACAGCTTGGCCTCCCTCCCTATCAACACTATTTGCCCACCCAGGCAACTCAGAGTACTCCAAGCTGGCAGAGGGTCAGATAGGGTGTTACTCAGGCCAGTCTTCACCCACAAGGGAAGGAGACATACCACCCAAGCACCCACCACCTGTTGGGCACTGTGGAAAGGACCTTCCTTCCCCCATGAAGTAGGGGTTGAGCTGACACTCAAGGTGGGGGAGGTGGGAGGTGCTCAGATCAGAACAGAACACCAAAGAGTCCCCCAGTGGCCTGGCTGGGGAGGTTCAGAGCAACACCTGCTCTCTGAAGCTGGATGCTTACATTTTCTGAGCAAGGGGAACTTTTTTCACCCCAAACCGATATGAATGATCTAACACTCTCAGTGTTCTGTTTGGCAAGACTAAAACTTCTGAACATAGCAGGGTTGAGGTGGTGGATTTAATCCTTTAATCCCAGCATTCCGAGCCAGAAGCAGGTGGATCTCTGTGAGATAGACATTAGCCTAGTCTACAGAGTAAGTTCTAGACCAGCTCGGGCTACAGGGAGATCATGTCACACATACACACCTACAATAAAAACAATAAAAACTATCTGAACATCAACTAGATCATCTTAGATTCTTTTTTGGAAAGTAGGGTGCCTTCCCTCCCAGGCACAGAAGGCAGGAAGGGTCTCAGCATAAGTGCAATGGTTTTTCATCTTAGGTCACCTGGGCTCCTGTGGGCTGAGGACTGGCTGCTCCAAAAGATCATCTGGGGCTCCAGGTCTGAGGCTATGAAGGTGTCATCTCCCCATATATAAAGCAGGGTCATGAATCCCACAGAAACAGAGAGAGGCCAGCATGGCCTCAGCCTTAGGTGAGCGCAGGGCAAACCTCCATAGATAATGGGTCCCACCGGGGCTTCTAGAGCCCAAACACCCCAGGCCATGGGGTGGGGATGGGGGCATCTGCTCCAGGGGACGGGCAAAGTCGAGAAAGGAACTTGTGCTAGCCTGAGTCACTGGGAGCATGAGGGGGTATCTGGGGAGCTGCCCTCCCTACTCAGGGCTGCTGTGTACATTTTGTCATCTGTGTCTCACTCCCTACCCAAGTCCCTGTTTTCAAAAACAGTTCCCATTTGTCAAGGGAAAGCCAGACTTCCCTGCTTTCAGCAAATGGGGTCTATGCAGGTTCACTGTGGGACCTGTGGATGACCTAGCCGCAGCTCATCATGGCCACTGTGCTTCCTTTGGGTGGACAAGGGACCAAACTCCATGTTACCACAGTGAGCGGGGGCTCTGGGTGTGTAAGGGAAGAAAGGCCTCTCCTCTGTGACAGCCGCTGCGGTCAACTTGCACAGGACAGGAGCATGTCTGAGCTTGTGCTGGCCCAGAGGAAAGGGATTAGTGACAAGAGAGAGAACCGGGTCTGGGGACCAGCTAGGCCCTGGCGCCAAGCTCAGCCTGAGAAATAGGCATGTCCGTTTTGAGGTCTAAGATCCCGGGGGCCACCAGCCTCAGTCAGCTCAGCTTTAAGCCGCCAGGGTACTTGGAACCCTAGATGCTCCGCCAGGCTCCAGTCATCAGCCTCCAGCACAGGGACCCTGTCCCTGTGTTCCTCTCTGCCAACTCACCCACTTGTTGCAGGGTTGGGGAGGTAAGGAGTCCTGGCTAGAAACAGATTGGAATGCACGTTCATTGTCATTGGAGTTTATTGCAGTAATTATTATTTAATTTATTTATTATGGCTTGAGACAAGAGTTTCATGTAGCGCAGGCCGGCCTCAAACTCAGACAGCCTAGGATGAACTCCTTGAACTCCTGATTGCCCTGCCTCCACCTGCTGAGTGTTAGATTATGGGCATGTACTACCATGCCTGGCTCATAAATCTTTAGCTCAGGCTGGCCTGGAATTCATGCAATCCTGTCTCAGCCTCCCAAGTACTGGGATTACAGGTGTGAGCCACACTTGACCCCTGGAATTATCTCTGACCCTCACAGTCACTTTCTATGGAGGCAGAGACCAATCTGACCTACTGTTGGGGAAGACTCAACTCTCACCTCTCCAGAGAGGGGCCAGAAACAGACAGCAGCTTGCTGAGTATCTGGGGAACAGGGTCCCATTCTCAGGGCTTGGAACTTAGGTCGACTTTTACTGAATGATCAGTATGTAGTCAGTTCCTGGCTGAGACTCCAAAGAACAAAGCCTGCTCCCTCCAGACTTTAGCCAGAGACTGGGCTTCATCTGCACGTGTACCTGAGGCCTTGTGCCTAGGGCTCCTCAGACATCAAGAGTACTCCACTGCCCACAGCAGATGAGGAAGAGGAAGCTCAAAGAGGTCAAGGCCACACAAGTATGCGTGCTTTGGAGCCTCCTAACTCTAGGACTGCCCTTCTTGCAGGACCTAGAACCACTTGTAGGTAGAAGCTTGGAGAGTAACCTTCCCATGGGGTGCCCCTGCCTCAGGTCCCACTGTCCTTACCTCAGAGTACAGGCAGCAGGCTGACCAGGCTGGTAGGGCCCAAGCTGTACTCGGCACACTAGGGCACCCAGCACCTCACAGTCCTCCAAGTCACAAGGGTACCGAGCGGTTAGCACGTTGCCCTTGGCTTCCTCATAGAGCAGCCGCAAGACCTCCTCGTCATGGATCTGCAGGCCAGTGTGGCAGGGAAAGAGCTCAGAGGGGTTGGGGGCAAGGCGTGACTGATCAAAAGTCTTGGGACAGGAGAGACTGGGCACAGGGCATACAGGAACTGGTTGGCATTAGCTGGGCTCCCTGTCTCACCTGGAGTTCCTGGTGCTTTGGGAAGAACACATTCCTTCGGAACTGCAGGGAAGGCTCATCTGAGGAGAGAGGCTGAAGTCAGTGGCTTGCCACCTAGCATCACCCAGCCGTGCCCTGCTCTCCCCCCAAATGGCCCATACCCCAGCTCCCAACCTTACTTTTCCCAACTGGGGGATGCCCAGAGAGTGTGCTCAGCCCCTCCCAGCCCCTCCTTGTCAGGGCTCCCTTCAGATGCCCCCGAAGTTCTTCCCTGTCAGGAGCGATTGACACAAAGCTCTGGGGAGATGCAGCCCCTGCCCACAGTGGCACTGACCCATGGCCACGTCATCGTCCGGGGCGTTGGTGAAGCGCAGCAGTAGCTCCGGCCACTGGCGGCCCAGCTTGTAAGGTTGGTGTTTAGGTTTCAGCTGTACCTCTGCAGGGTGAGAGTGGAAACGGCCATGCAGTCTCTGACTGGGCTGAGGAGGTCTCACCACCCACCACACTGCCAGCAACAGCAACACCAAGGTCAGTCATGACAGCAGAGCCGCTGCAAGTGGCTCCGTGTGTCACCTTGCCACAGCCCCACTCTGCCTTCCGCCTGGGAGAGGTCAGGTCACCTGTCCCAAGTCACAGCAAGGGAAATGGTGGCTGGTTCCAGAGAATGCCAGACTCTCTCTATTCAACACAGCAACTAGTTGAGGTAGAGCCGAAAGGTTGGGGTGGACAGGAGGTGCTGGGGGAGGTGGCATAGGGGACCTGGCACTGCCACCAGGAAGCAGAACCTGAGGCTGGTGAGTAACGGCCCAAGGACCCAGTAGACTGCCTTCCTCGACCTCTGGCAGAGTCTAAGCCTCCCCTAGCCAATCTCCACCCCATGATCCTCCCTTCTGCAAGCTCCTCACCCCCACGGCCCACGGTGCCATGTCATGCAGCCCGGCCTTCCCACCTCACTGCCTCACTCCTGTCCCCTCTGATCTCCACACCGCTTTCTTAAGTGGCGCGAGCACTGCCAGCATGTCTGTGTCCTGGTACTGTCACACTTCCATCAGATACCCGTCTCCCAGATTTTCCCATGGCTGGTTGGTTCAAGGTCACCTCTCCTGGATCCCTAACGAGGCATCCCTTCTTCAAAACTTCATCACATGGGCTGGCAAGATGACTCAGTGGGTAAAGGCACTTTTGGCCAAGCCTGAAGACCTGAGGTTCAATCCTCAGAACTCACAGTGGAAGAGGAACCAACTCTAAAAGTTGTCCTGTGACTTCCATGCACACATACACACAAAATAAAAAGCCTATCTTTAATCCCAGCACTCGGGAGGCAGAGGCAGGCAGATCTCTGTGAGATCAAGGCCAGCCTGGTCTACACAATGAGTTCTAGGCCAGCTGGGGCTACAGGAGGACCCTGTCTCAAAACAAAACAAAAAAAGGAAAAACAGGAAACAAAACAAAATGCCTGCATCACATAACTGTACCATCTTTTGTATACCTGCTTGGGGTTTCGTTACCCATTCTTCTGTGGTCTTGAGTCACAGCAACTTTAAGTGCCACAAGACAACATAGCCCTGGCAACTAAGGGGTCCATGCCATGGACCCACTCACAACCACTCAAGCTCTGGGGCGCCAACACTTCAGGTCAGGAGTGACAGGTAGACTGAGCTTGTGTACCAGCACCCTGTGTACTAGCTGACAGCGGCCACCTCGGCACTGCTCTTGGGAGGTAAGGGGCTGAGATGCCTGCTGAGGATGCCCCCACATGCTTGCCACTCTGTTTCTGACCCATGTCTCTTCCCTCCAGCCTTCCCCTTCCCTACTGATGGATGAGCACCTTGTCCTGGCAGCCAGATGCCAACAGTTCTTGAACCTTCTTCCTTCCTGGACCCTGATCTTGACCTAAACCGCAGCCATAGCCTCCAAATGGGCCTCCCTGCTTCCAGTCACTTCCATCCAACCCCTGCATCCAGCCTCTCCAGTCCTTTCCTGCCCCAATTTCTGATCCATGTTTTCCCAAGAAGATTCACAGTCTTCATTTCCTGCGTAGCTGTCTGGCCCCACCCACCTGTGGTCCCACCACAGGGGAGCATGCCATTTTGTTTGTCCAAACAGTCACAGTGAACAGTCACAGCTGTCTTCCTCTGCCCTCTGGGAAGGGTTACCTCCACCCCCCTTCCCTGTGCTCTCTCTATCCCCAGGCTCACAAGATGGACCAACAAGATCTTTCACCTCACCTGAAGCCCACAGAGGGATGACAACTTCCCAGGGCCTTACACAGGGGCTACACTGGCTACACGGGACCAGAGCTCAGCTTCCCAAAACTCCCTTCACCACACATTCAACCCAATCCCCGCTGACTTCTCCGAGGCAGGAATCCCATGGGTCTCAGTCCCTGTTCTGCCCCTAGCACTCAGAAAATCCAGCCTGCGGACAGGTAGACCTGGGGACAGGGATGTGGTTCCTCCTGCCATCATTACCAGGTCCTAGTTGTTCACAAGTCCCACCATCAGAACAGGACTAAACCGCCAACTTGGGTCTCCCTGTAGCCCCAGCTGGCCTGGAACTCTATGTAGACCAGGCTGGCCTCATCTCACAGAGATCCACCTGCTTCTGTCTAGGATCTAAGTATTTGCCACCTTGCCCAGCCTAGCCTCTTACTTCTAAATGGGACCTTCCTCCCTAGCTGCCACCATCCAAATGAGACCAACAGTCCTGGAGCCCAGCTCTGTGCAGAGTGATGGCCAAAGACACCAAAAGCAGCCTGATGCCTGGGAAGGCCTGTCACTGCTCTGCCTTGCAGGGAGAGGGTGTCCTGGGAATCTGAGGTAGCCTTTCAGTCTTCCACACAGTCTGGGAACAGCGTGGGTGTTAGCTGTACAGCAGCCTCAGGCACCCTCCTTCTGGACGCTTGGTCCACACAGGCAGTACATTCAGTTCTTGCTACTGCCTTGGGGAACAGGAATGTGAGGGAGTGGTGGTAGGAGGTGGAGAAGCAGGCCGCCCAGTGGCAGTACTGCGAGGGCCTACCCACTAGGACCTGGCACCCCCAGCTTTCCAGAGACATAAGGGGTCCACAGTTCTGACCAGCCAGGCCGAGGGCAAAGAGGGGGGGAGCGGTGGCCAGAGGATCTGGACAATAGGAAGAGGGTGGGTGAGAGAGGAGCAGCAGCTGAGCCGGAAGCTGGGGGCAGGGAAGAGCAAGGATGGGGGCTGGAAGTCCTCCCACAGGACAGAGGCAGAAACCCCAGTGGCCCCAGGAGAGGAAGGAACCACCAGGATGTCCCGGCCCAAACCCTTCAGAGCAGTGACTCCATTCCTCTACAACAAAGGGAGTATTTGCTGTTTGGGGTTTGTTTTTGTTTCCTTTTCAATTTTGGGACTTTAACCCAGGGCCTTGCACATGCTAAGCAATCACTCTACCAATGAGCGATAGTCTTGGCCTGCAAAGGGAATTAAAAAATATATTTTATTTATTTTATGTGTATGAGTGTTATACCCACATGTAAGTAAGTGCACCCATGTTGTGCAATGCCCACAGAGGACAGAAGAGGTCAGATCCCCTGGAACTGGTGTTACGGACAGTTGTTAGCTGCCATGTGGGTGCTGGGATTTGAACCCGGGTCTTCTGCAAGAACAACCAGTGTTCTTAACCACTGAACCATCATCTCTCCAGGCCCCGGGAATTTTTTTAAAAAACATAAAGTCTTCCTGTAGCTCCGGCTGGCCTGGAACTTGCTATGTGAGCAAGGCTGACCTCAACCTCACAGAGGTCTGCCAAGTACTGGGACTAAAGGTGTGCTCCACCACACCAGGCCTGGGAATATTTTTTAAAGCATACTTTGTTATATACTCAGTTTTTTTTAAAGAGTTAAAAAAAGAACTTTAAGACCAGACATGGTGGTGCATGCCTTTAATCCCAGCACTTGAGAAGCAGAGGCAGGCAGCTCTCTGTGAGTTACAGGCAGTTGTGAGCCACTTGACATAGATGCTGAGAACTGAACTCAGGTCCTGTACAAGAACAATGCTCAACTTTTTAAGACAATTATTTAACTTATTATTATGTGTGTATGTGTGTGGGTGAGTGTGTGTGGGAGGAGGTGTGCACACACCACAGAAGCCAGACTTCGGGAATTTGTTCTCTCTGTCCACCATGTGGGTTCCAGGGGTGGAACTGGGGTCATCAGGCTTGGCAATAGTGCCTTTATCCACTGAACCATCGTGCCCGCCCTCAAAGGGAGTATTAAAGCTCACAAAACATGTCTGGTATCAGCACCAACTTTTTCCCAAAATGATGACACAGGCCTCTTTCCTGTCCATGTCAACGGGCTCAGGGAGACGCTACTCACTAGCCTGAGGATCTGGAAATCTACTGTTTCCACTTCAGTCCCCACTTTGGGTCCCAGACTGAAAGGGCAGGATGTGGGTGGTCATGGTGCCAGCAAGGCAGGGTTGAGGTCCCATGCAGAGAAGCCATGTCCCTACTCCTCTTCCAGCAGCCCCTTGCTTATGCAAAGGCCACCTGTCAGAGAGGGTTGCTTCCTGGGTCACAGTGACCTGTCTTCCCTGTCCTCAGCAACAGTGGGTCCTGACACCCACTCATCTCACTGCTCCAGACCTCAGATTCACACTGCAGGACAGGCCTGGGTCACAAGGACAGAATGGCCCAGGTGGCATGCTCTGTGCACAGGGGGCCCATCCACTCTTCTGAAGACCTAGGTTCCAGCTCTGCTGCCATCAGCATAAGACAGGGACAGAGGAACCGGGTGTCTGTCTGCTCAGGGCTCGGGGAGACACCATGTGTCACCTCCCCCTAACAGTGGCAGCCACAGGTTCCAGAAGCTAAGCCCTCCCTCTGCACTGGTCAGTGTCCTTCCAGCCCTCCTGCCTAGGCTTCTGCCAGACCTTACCCAGTAGAGGGGAGACAAGCCAGAGTGCAAAGACGTCCAAAGCAATGTCTGGGAGCTGCAGGACTTCGCGGATTGCTCGGTGCAGCTCGTGGGCACTGAGCGCAGACAGGTTCTCCACAGCCAGGGGCACTACTGTGTCATCAGCCAGGTACACCAGCACATCAGCTGCTGTGAGGGAGGTCAGTAGGGTCAGCTGAGGCCCACTGCCAGACAGATCAGACATCATCCACTACCCACTGCCCCTTAGGGGTAACCCAGCTACACTGACACATCCTGTTAAGGCATGGTGATGCACACCTCTAGTCCTAGGACTCAGGAGGCAGAGACTGGAGGATTTTGAGTTTGAGACCAGCTTGAGCTACTATAAGACCCAGTCTCAAAAAAAAAAAAAAAAAAAAAAGAAAAAAAAAAAGGTGCTGCTCCTTATAAGGACTTCTTGAAATCTTCAAATCACCTAGAAACTGTGGCCCAGGTACCAGCCCCATTTCACCCCCTAAGGCTCAACACAGGGTTAGCTATGCAAACCACCCCTCATCCTCTCCAACACCAAAGACTGCTGTGCTTCCATCCTAAGAATTCTTCAGGTGGAAAACTAGGGCAGACAGGGGTAACCCATCCTGAGTCACAGCATCCTATCAGGCTGGGAGCAGGGTGAACCAGTGATCCTTCAACTCTGTCTGGGTCAGGCTACGCTGACAATGAGATTTCTAAAGCTATCCCAGGTCCCAGCAGGTTCTGAGCCTCAGCTTCTTTTAGGATGAGTCAAAGCCTCAGGGATCAGTACTGTGGCTTTATTTTAAGTGAATTTTTACAATTTTCCTACAATATAATTTGATGGTATTTAGATTCCCTCCTCCATCTGCACCTCCCGACTGTCCCCCTTCGAATAATTTAATGTACTCTTACTATAATAAGGCCTAGAGGGTCTAATTTGTATCTCCAAATGTCCTTCAGTGTGGGTTCATCCACTGGAGCCTGATTAACCTCCCAAGAGTTCCATCCTTGAAAGAGATGGTCTCTCCCCCTTCCAGCAGCCATCAGTTGCCAAAAGTTCCTTAGGTAATACTGTGGCTTCTGGAGATAGCCTTAAGTAAGTAAAGAAAGTGTAATTAAAATTGCCAAGTGTTCCCTCGTGATAAGATGGAGTCCCATCTGGAGTCCAGGGCCAACAGAAGACCCGTGGCAGGGCGGCCAGATTCAAATGAACTGCAGGCATAGAAGGAAACACTGAGTGTGTCCACCTGCAATCCTTGCCTGCTTGCTGCTTAGTGGCTGACTCGAGCAAGTCTGTGTGTGTCAGTTGCTGAATCTCTAAAAGTCGCCTTAAGAAACCTCTCAAAAGACAGCTGAAAATCAGATGAAACCTTTAAACCTGCTGGGCACAGTTTTAGTTAGCTACAGATGCTTTCTAAGATTCCAGTCTCTTCTGTTTTAACAGTTTCTCTGAGAGATCAAACCATGACCCTCAGGAGACTGAGGTTCAGAGCCACTTGACAGGCAGAGGAGAAAAAAAAAAAAAACAAAAAAAAAAACTGGCCCTGAAGGTTCAAATTCATGATCACCAGGAGGGCTTGTGACCTAACAACCGGTCTATGGCCCAATTTCCTCCCAATAAAATAAAGATAATGAGGATCCTTGCTTTAAAAAGGCTGTTGGCGAGAAAGAAATATAATAAAAGAAAGTATCACTTTTCTTTTGAGTTCGCCACACCTCAACGCATCTTAGTTCTTACTACAACCGAGATTAACTTGGTTAAAGAAGGCAAACCAGAGCCCTCCCCAGGGCTGGATCCCCAGAGGGTTTAAGAGGGGATGAAAAGGACAGAGACCCACCTCGGGCGCCCACGGAGGATACGCTGCTTCGGTGGGAGCGCTCCGCCGGGCCAGGCTGCCCTGCAGTGCCTTCGGCCCCGTCCATCTGTAAGGGGAACGATTAGTGTGTGTGTGTTGGGGGGGGGTGTCTTGGGGGCTGACAAGTCTCAAGCTCTCCACTAGGAGGGAAAGGGGTCCTGGGCTGGGTCTGCGAGTCATCTACAGCCAGGGACCAAGCGTGCAGGCTGGAAGTGGGGTGTGTCCCCCAGGCCTACTGGAGGTCGGGGGTCGGTGCAGGGGTCAGGAGCCAGGCTGCACCAAGCTCGCCAGGGAGGATGCCGAGAAGGGTCCAGGCGTGCCCCAATCCAGGGCGGGGACCCGGAGGAGGAGTGGCCGCGCTCTTACCTCCCAGAGCCCCCCACTCCCCAGGGCCCAACCCCGATCCAGTCCCCACCACTTCGCCCACCACTGCGACTCTCGGGGTCCGACTGAAACTCCAGCTGCTCGGACTGCACCCGCGGAAGCTGCAGAGGGAGGAAGCTCAGCGTAGAGGCCCCGCCCCCCAGGCCGCGGGAGCCAATGGGAGGCGGGAGGCTCTGCGCACGCGCACTACTGCCGGCGCGCCCACGCCACCGCCCCGCCGGGCGCGCGCATGGGGGGCGGGTCGTGCCACGCCCCTGGAATGGCCGTGTCGTGACCTTGCCCGGCCAGCAAGAGTGACCAGAGCAAGCTACGCCATGCACGGGACTCACTCTGTAATAAGATGTGGTGAAGGTTCATGAAAACCAGGGATGGGGCTCGAACCGCTAACTCTCGCTGCGGCTGCAGTGGAGATGCTTTCCTTGGATCCATTAGGATCCACCAAACTAGGCTGGGCGCTGGATGGATGTAGGCATCTCGGCGGCCTGCTTGGAAGCTCCGCAAAGATTGGTTGACTCTTGGCTGTGGACAGGAGTCAGGACCCTGTGTTTTCCCTTGCCCTCTGGATCTATTTTTTAAAATTTATTATTTTTAAATGTTTTTAAAAGTATTTTATTTATTTATTTATTGGCCTTTTTGAGATAGGGTTTCCCTGTAGTCCCAGCTGGCCTGGAACTCACTGTGTAGACCAGGCTGGCCTCGAACTCACAGATATCCGCCTGCCTCTGCCTCTGCTGGGATTAAAGGCGCGTGCCATCAGCCCGGCTTAAAGTATTCTGTGTATGATTATTATTGCCTGCATGTATGTAAGTGCACCAGTGTCCTGCAGTGCCCACGGGAGTCAGAAGAGTGTGTCAGATCCCCTGGAACTGGAGTTACAGACAGTTGTTAGCTGTCTGTGGGTGCTGGGAATCAAACTCAGGTCCTCTGCAAGAGCAGCCAGTGCTCTTAACCCCTGAGCCATATCTTCAGCCCCTGGATCTGTTTCTTACCCATAACAGGAGGAGGTTGGACTAGGTGATTCTCAAGGACCCTTCCCACCCTCAAACTGTTTATGTTTGTGGGAATCAGGGCTTACTCTTTTCCCCCTGTTCTCCCTCTGGCACTGTCACATGAGCCCTGGCTGTCTTAGACACACAGTTTCCAAGATCTTGATCCAGGCTGGGGAGAGGCATTGTGGCAGGAAAAGGACAAATGTGAAACTGCCTATCTCTGAGGTCTCAACACCAACATGTCCTGACAAACCAGCATGTGTGTGACCCAGTCCTGGAAAGTGGGGAGAAAAAAAAGACCATGGGGGCTACCCCAAGTCAGGGGAACTACAGATTGTTCCAAGTGATAGTAATGTACTTGGGGATCAGAAATAGGAGACATGACTTCATCTTGCCTCCAGATTTCTTGATCTGGAAAGTAGCTGTAGGTTCCTGACCTGTCCAACTGTTTTCAGGGTTTTTGTGATTTGTTGTTTGTTTGTTTTGAGCCAGTCTCCCTGTTGCCCCAACTAGCCTGAGAACTCACTAAGTAGACCAGGCTGGCCTCAGTCTCACAGAGATCTACCTATCTCTGCCTCCCGAGTGCTTGGATTAAAGGCTTGTGCCACCATGCCCAGCATTTTGTTGAGCCTTTAAAATTAATTTTGAGTTTTGCTTTGTTGGGTTTTGTTGTTTTTTTTTCTGAGACAGGGACTCATATCCTAGATTAGCCTCAAACTCACTATATAGCCAAGGCTGTCCTTGGAACTCCTGATCCTCCTATCTCTACCTCCCAAATGCTAAGATTACAGGCCTGTATCACCAAACCTCATTTTGTTTTTGCTGTTGCTTGTTTTAAGACAGGCCTTGCTCTGTAGCCCACACTGGCCTGAAATTCTGTGCAGCCCAGGCTGGCCTTGAACGCATGGTCCTTCTACCTCAGCCTCCCCAGTGCTGGGATTACAGGCATGCACTAGCATTCCCAGCTACCTTCAGTGTTTGAAGCAGCCCTTTGCCTTCCCTCCCCAGACCTACACTGCACCCCATTTGAGCTCATCGCTTATTGGCATGAGGCAGGGACTCAAGGAAACTCCCATATCACTGACTCCCTTAACCAACTGGAGCATGGTGGGAACACAGTTCAGTGTGCAGAGCCTGTGCCAGTGCATAGAACGGAGACCATGAGGAAAGAGCCTTTACCTCAGGACGTGTCTCGTGGTTTAATTTAAGGGAGGAATGAAAGAAATATACCTGAGTGAACAGCATATTAAAGCTACGGCAGGTTGAGGCTGGAGAGATGGCCCAATGGTTAAGAGCACTGACTGTTCTTCCAGAGAACCTGGGTTCAATTCCCAGCACCCACATGGCAGCTAACAATCATCTATTACTCCAGTTTCAGGGCATCTGACACCCTCTTCTAACCTCCATGGGCATTGCACATACATGGTACACTTACATGCATACAGGCAAAACAGTCATACAATAAAATAAAAATAAAATATATATATATTTTAAAAAAACCCTACAGCTGAGCACAGGCCAGAGAGTGAGCCAGTAAGCAGCATTCCTCCATGGTCCCTGCTTCAGCTCCTACCCTGACTTCCTGCCTTGAGTGAGGTCCCTCAGTGATGACTGTTACCTGAAAGTATAAACCAGAATTAACTGTTCCTCCCCAAGTTGCTTTTGGTCAAAGTATTTATCATGGAAACAGAAGGTAAACTAAAACACCACACCTAATTAAATGCTACTATCCAAAATATATATGGACTTCAACTCAATAGTAAGAAAATAGTAGCCTGATTTAAAAATAGGAGGAAAGGACTTAAGTAGAAATTACTCGGGAGGCAGAGGCAGGCGGATCTCTGTGAGGTCAAGGCCAGCCTGGTCTACATAGTGAGTTCCAGGACAGCTGGGGCTACAGGAAGACCCTGTCTCAAAAAGACCAAAAATAAATAATAAATAATAAATAAATAAATAAAACATTTTAAAAAACCTATTGAAGGTGGTCCAGGCATGGTGTCAAATGTCTGAAATCTTAGTACTTGTATGATTGAGACAGAGGAGTTCAAGGCCAGCTTCATCCTGGGCTACATAAGATTCCATCTCAAAAAGTCCAAAACAGGGGTTGGAGAGATGGCACAGCTGTTAAGAGTACTGCCTTCTCTTGCAGAGGACCCCAGTTCAGTTCCCAGCACCCCACATGTTGGCTGGATTACATTTGTTTACTACTATCACTAGCTGAGCTAATCTTAAATATTTGTCAGAGTTCACTCTTATGACCACTGGGGTCAATTTCCTTAAGAAAGCATTTTAAAAGTTATCATTGACAGGTTTATTTTAAAATCCACATATACACATGTAAGTGTGTGTATATATCTGAAGATTATCTTACAAAAATCCTAGTGCCAGGTAAGGGAAACCTCCCTTCAAGTTGTTGGTCAGGGTAGTTCAAGAGAATACCGAAATAAAATAGGCTATTGCTGTAGCCCTTGGTTGCTTCCCAGAACTTGAAGGTATGACTTTATTGCTGAAGACTTCACAGGCTTTGGACACAGGACTTGGAGAAATTGCTCTGGAACAAACCTGGAAGGTTCTTCCCTGAAGACTAGCACTTATATTATTATAAGGGGATGGCAAGCTGCCAAGGGAGAAAGCCAATCAATGCCTCTACCAATCTATAAAGCTTATAAACTACAATGACCCGCCCAGCAAATTGTCTCTATCGTGCAATAGTATCACTTTTATCTTGTAATCAATTGCTGTCTGTTTGGACTCAAGGCCCTTGGAGGGAATCCATGATTGGTATTGTAAACATAGCCAAGCACAAATAGTTGGGGAGGTCATAGACCCTAGAAGAGAACCTACTACTGCCACTTCCCTAAACTAATGTATTTTCTTGCTATGTTCTAAACACTTATCCTTATATTCATAGATACGTGTGGCTTTCACCACTCATCAGAAACATTTTAAGTGCCAGGGGAAGAGGTGTATGACCATAAGGAAACAGAGTCTTAAAGGCTCCTGGGACCTTGCTCACATGAACCTATAGAAACGGTGACAGCATGCACAAGACCCGTGCAAACTCAGACAAAAACCAGCATAGAACTGGAGAAATGGGCAGGAGGCCATAACTTTGGCGAGGAACTACTGGCAGCTGATCACTGCTGGGTGGGGGACAGTTGATCTTCAAGAAAGTGATGCTAGACAGGCTGAACAGCCTCCAGTGAGTGAACCCACACCAAGGGACATCTAAGTACACAAGTCAAGCTTGATAAGCTTTAACACATATGACAAAATGCATGAAGTCCTATGGGCAGGCTATGGGGGTGCAGATAGGGAAGGGGGAGGTTAAATATGATGAAGTTGTATGAAATGTACAAAAACTCAACAAATGTTGTTTTTACAAAGCTTCTTTTGGACCCAGAAAGAGGGCTCAGTGGTTAAAAACACTGCCTGTTCTTGCAGAAAACCAGGGCTCAGTTCCCAGCACCCATATGTCAGCTAACAACCCTCTGTAACTCCAGTTTCAGGGGATCTGATGCCCTCTTCTGGCCTCCGTGGAAACTGCATGCACATGTTGCACTTACACACATGCAGGCAAAGCTCTCATACACATAAAATTTAAAATTAAAAAAATTAAAAATAACACGTTATGTGTGCATGCGTGTGAGTGTGCACACACATTTAAATCTAGATTCTGGGTCTGGGGGATGGCTTAAGTTCAAACCAACAACCCAAGTTTGATCCCCAGAACCCATGGGAAAAGCTGGCTATGGAGTCACAGCCCTCCTACAGCCAGATGTGGGGTACAGAGCCAAGAGAGCCACCCCGAAGTTCACAGGTCAGCTAGCCCGGGGTACACAGCACAGCAGCAGAAACAAAAGCGACCCTGCTTCAACAAGGTGGAAGGCAAGAACCAATTCCCAAAAGTTGTCCTCTGATCTCTACACATGTGCTTTGGCATGCGTGCCCCCTCCAAAGCACACACACAATCAGTTTTTAAAAAACTAGAGTCTTCCTATGAGATAAGTTGATATTTTTCTTTCTGAGTTTGACTTATTTTGTTTAACATGATGATCCAGGTCCATCCGTCGTCTTGCAATGACATCATTGTATTCTCCTTTCCTGAAGAAAACTCTGTGGTATACATTCTCTTTATCCAATCATGTGTTGATGGACAGGGGCTTTTGCATTCTTCTTGATCCCTTGGAGATGAGAGAAATCAGGCCTGGCCACTAACACTGTTCTCTGACTTTTCCATCCATCCATTCATTCATCCATCCATTCACTAGGATTTCTTGTGTTCCTCCCCTGTGTCACACACTTCTCTAATCCTCTAAGCATGTAAGTGGATAAAACAGCCAGAGGTCCTTGTCTGCAGAGATAACAGGTCAGGGACATTTGCAAAGGGAGAAAGGAAAGGAAGAGCCTGGGAAAGAGGGGTACAGACTGCTGGGTGAGCTGGCAGATTGCCACTGTCCATGCTATGACTTGGGGAGGCCTCACTGAAAAGGTGACATTTCAGCCCCAGCTTGAAGGAGACTAGGGAGGGTGTCCAGGAAGAGGACCGCCAGCCTGAGGGCCTGGGGGTGGGGTGGGGGAGTCTGTTCATAGTGGCGCAGGAAGCAGGACATGAGGTCATAGGAGAAGGGCGGTACTGTGAGGGCTCAGACAGCGTAGAAGAGATTTGGCCTCTCTTTCGTTTTAATTTATAGAGAAAAGACATTTCTTGCTCACAGTTTAGAGGCAAGAAAGTCCAAAATGTAGGCGCTGGCATCTGGTGAGGGTCTTCCGGCTTCATCATCCCAAGGATGAAGGCAAGAGAGCGGGAGGGAGAGCAGGATTGGATTTTGACTCGGACTATCATCAGGCCTTTGCACAATCTATGACATAGTCAAAAGCCCCATTGTTGGTTCCCCTGGGGAAGAAGAGGATGTGTTTCTGATTCACACGGCGGGCAAAGCTGTAAACAGCTCTGAAGGGAGCAGACAAACAGGCTTCAGGGCCTGGTGAGTCACTCACTTCTGCCCCCCGCCCCCCTTCCAGGGTGGTTCTCAGCCTACCCTGGGTTCAGGTGGCTGCTGCGGGCCACTACGGCCTGGGACTGCCATCTGGTGGTGACCCTCTGCCTTCACACAGCTTCACAGCCTGTCTTAGTAGGTGAGGCCTGGGTTCCTTGGGGATGAACAGGAGCTTGGGCCTGGCTGGCTGAGCAGGCAGGGCCTGGTCTCTTGCTGACTGAGGTAGTCTTGGAGGGATCAGCAAGCTGGGACCCAGTTGCTAGCTCTTGCCACAGGGTGAGGTTCTCACTATCCAGGCACAGGACACAGGCTAGGTGGGGCTGTCACCTTCAGAGACTCCTGATTCCACACACCTCTTCCAGGCCCAGGGTCACTGAAGTTGGCTTGGCCTCGCTAATAGTTGCCTGAGGTCTGGGCACTGGGCCACTTCTCACCATCCAGCCGGGGTTAAACATTAGTGGGAGGTTATCGGGTTTGGAGAGGGGGTGGGAATTGCACTTGCAACAGTCTCCTCTGCGGCCCTGCCTGGAGCTCCAGTTCCCACATAATGCCTGTGGAGGAGTTTGTGGCTGGCTGGATCTCTGGTGAGACATTTTTCTTCTTTCTGTCTCAGCACCCCCAAGGGTGGGCTGCCTCCTAGAGAGGGTGGGTTGTCAAGAGGAGCTGATCCCCCTGGAGCTCCTACAGCCAGCTGTCCCAAGAACCTCCTAGGAACGGCCAATGAGGAGGAGAGGGGAGGAAGGCATGAGCAGGAGGGGCTACTTCTGCATCCCAAGGCCACGCTGCCAGATACCACTGCAGGTCTGAGAGCTAGGAAGCAGCCTACACCCGAGCCCCTTCTTCCAGCCTCTTCTGAGGGGCCTGGACGGCATCCACCTTTGATCTCACAGGCTGTCCTGAATTCTCCTTTGGAAATCTGCCCTCCCAGGCAATGGGTGACACTCCTAGGTCTTGAGGCCTGCGATGGGCTGTACCCAGCCCAGCTTCAGGTGACATTCCTGTCATGAGGAAGAAGGACAGCATGAACCTGCCTTGTGGGGATGGCTGTGTTCAGAAGCAGCATCTACCAGGGAAAGGAAAACTAGGTAGTGGGTGGCCTCCTCCCCTGGGGCCTGCAGGACTCTGGGAAGGGCCCCCAGCTCTGCACTGATCATGGCAATGGGGAGAAGGCAGGGGAAGAGGCCAGCAGGGTCTGTTCTGATTCAAGGTCACGGACCTCTGAGAGGAAGAAAGGCAGGTGTACAGCTGATGGGGGGTTAGGCATGGCGGCCATTCCTTCCAGAGCCCCATGTTCAGTGTGTCACAGCTGGCTCTTCCCTATTGTGTATGTATGTCTTCAGGTGAGGCCCAGGGATCTCCCTCCCTTGTCCCAATACCTTTATGGCCCAGTGCTAGATGTGATGGGGCAGGATGTGGCAACAGGAATCCCTTTGGAGTCCCAAGAATGTGGGTGATGGATGTCTGAGCAGGCCTGGTCTCCTGGCTCTGCCTCAATCCCTCTTTTGTCTAAAATAGACTTGCACACGGCCCTCACTCATAGCATCTTCCTGTCATTGCAGGAGCTGTGGGTCTGGTCCTGGGACACCCCTTTGATACTGTAAAGGTGAGTTTAGTAACAGAGACACCAGAGCAGCAGGCAGTCTGGCCTTCTGAACATGGACGAGAGACGAGGCCTGGCTGGCTGGGTTGGCTCTTGCCTCATGTGCCCGCCAGCACCTGTTGTGTGGGCGATCTGGCTGCTGCTGTGGGAGCAGCCCTGGCCTGCCCACCTGCCTTACCTGCCCCATCCTCTTCATCCAGGTGCGGCTGCAGACCCAGAACACATACCGGGGCATTGTGGACTGCGTTCTGAAGACTTACCGCCATGAGTCGGTGCGTGGTCCACTTCTTTGGGGTGGGAGTCATCGGGGGCAGGTGTCGCCTGTTTTCTTTTTCTTGCTAACGAGTTCCAAGTCTTCAGCTCTTGAGGGTGCCTGGCAGTAGCTTAACACCCCAAAGGTGGAGCTGAGGCCTTCCCCGCCTCCCCTGCTCTGTTGTCCTGGGACAGGACTGAAGCAGGAGTGATGTACAGCCAGTACATAAGGCCTGGCCAGAGCTGGAATGGGGAGTGGGAGACCCACTATGCGTCCTCTAGTGTCACTGTGTTGCTCTGCAGCTCCTGGGCTTCTTCAAGGGAATGAGCTTTCCCATCGCCAGTGTAGCCCTGGTCAACTCTGTCCTCTTTGGAGTGTACAGCAATACCCTGATGGCACTCACAACGACTTCCCACCAGGAGCGGCGGGCCCAGCCGCCCAGCTACACGAACATCTTCATAGCAGGTTGCACTGGGGGCCTCTTGCAGGTAAGAAGGCAGCGTGTGGGTAGGTGTGCAGGTGTGACAGTGATGGATCTGTCCCCTCCCAGTCCCCTCTGGACTCACAGCTGTACATGGTCAGGCCTTCCCAAAGGGTACGTGTGGCTGTTGCTCCCAGTGGCCTGGTCATGTTGTGGCTTGCCAGGCTGCAGACCTAGAGGTGGGAGTCATGGAGACCAGAGGAAGCAAAAGGTAGAGTTGAGCAGGTAGTGCCAAGAAGATACCAGCCAGTCAATGCCCACCCTCAGGCTTGTCTGCCTTCAGAGGGATCTTCTAGTTCCAGAGTTCTGAGAAGACTATGCTGCAGGATGACCTTTGACCCTGAGGAACCTGCATCCTTACTAAAGCTCAAAACCCTGCTCTCTGGTGTTCCTAAGGTGGTCCTGGTTCATCCTGCCTGCTCAGCCCAGGCTTTTGCCTGAAGTTCCTGGGTAACCATAATCTCTGAGCCTCACTTGAGGCCACAGGTCACAGATCTCAGGGAATGCTAATCATTAAGTCACTCCCATCATTCATTTTGGTCTTTGTTCTCAGCACTGTAGTGTTCAGGCTTCTGAGGGGTGTGGTGGGGGCAGGAAGGCCTTCCAGGCCTCAGAGGAGACCTGAGCCGAGGGGAGTGTCTGAGTGTGAAGGGACAAAGGAACAAGTGCCAGTTCAATCTATACCTAGCTGGGTTCCTGGGTGACCCTATAATGGGTACCTGCCCTGATGCTGCTGATACTTCATGGGACAGAGGGCAAGACCAGAGGACAAAGTCAGACTGCACACTCCAGTGGTTAATGATTACTGAGACCCCAGAGTCCTGGCTTTTCTTCTCCCTCTTCCTCCTCCTGCTCCTCTTCCTCCTGCTCCTTTCCCTCTCCTCCTCCTCCTCTTCCTGCTCTTCCTCCTCCTCTTCCTCTTCCTCCTCCTCTTCTTCCTGCTCCTCTTCCTCCTTTTCTTCCTCCTCCTCCTCTTCCTGCTCTTCCTCCTGCTCCTCCTCTTCTTCTTCCTCCTTTTCTTCTCCTCCTCCTCCTCTTCCTCCTCCTCCTTTTAGCTTTTTGAGACAAGGTCTTACTATGTCTCCCTGACTGGCCTGTAACTAAGGCTGTAGATCAAGCTAGCCTCAAACTTGCAATAATCCTACTGCCTTTCTCCCCAAATCTGGAATTACAGCTATAGGCCACCAAACCCAGTTTACTGCCCATCTGTGTGCAGATGTGTACCTACATATTTCCCAAACCTAGAGGTCTGCACCCCACAAAACCAGTAAGTGACCTCAGACCTGGGTGAAGCAGCCTGATCTAAGCCCAGCCAGGCCCCTCTCCTCACTCACCTTCCCTTTATCTCTCTGGAAAGGATAGGGGCTGTCAGGGCCACAGGTGGGGACTGGGGCTAGGAACTGCCTGGAGCCTGGGTTTACTGGCAAGGCTCAAACTACTGTCAATAGGGTCTTGAAGCCCAAATGTGTTTCAGTGGGGAAGTGGGAGGAAGGGGCAGAAGTACACAGACTCTGATGGCATGAATGTTGCTTTTGACCTGGTTGAAGCTGCCCCTGTCAGTAGTTAAATAGCACCTAAGTCTCCATGGTTCCCACCTCATGAAAGCCCCATTCAGTCTTGGAGCCATCCTGAGTGCTGGGGTCTGAACTCAAGTCCCCTGGAAGAGCAGTATGTGCTTTTAACCACTGAATCATCTCTCTACTCCAGCCCTGATTGGTTTTTTGAGACAGGGTCTCACTGTGTAGCTCAGGCTGGCCTTGAACTTGTGGCAATCCTCTCACCTCAACCTCTGGGATTATAGGCATGAGCTACCACACCCAGCCAGGACCCCAGTTCTCACCTGTACTTTGGCAGTTTTGTTTTTGTATTTGAGACAGGGTCTCACTGTGTAGCCCAGGCTGGCCTGGAACTCACAGAAATCCTCCTGCCTCTTTTCCAGTGCTGGGTCAAAAGTGTACACCACCATGCCTGGGAAGCAGCTTCCCTCAATGTAATTGCATCCCTGACCCAACCCTCACCCCCTCCAGATCCTCCCCATCCCAATCTAGTGTCACCCCAAACCTGTGTCCTGGCATCCCACGAAAATAGTAAGGGCTCTAGGACCTGCCAAATCTCACCTATCACCACCATCTATCACCCCACCCTTAAAAGCCTGTGTGTTGGGATACCAGAAGCTAGGCCTTGGTGAGAGGCAGGGAGGTTGGCCCTGGTGTTGCCTGTGGGGGCCTCGGGGAGGTGCCATGCAGAAGGGGAGGGAGTGGGACTGAGATGCTGGGCCCTTATTGGAACAGTGCTGGTGAGATGACCTTCACAGGGGAGGGAGGCTCGGTCCCTCACTGTTTGTTTTCTGCTCGGGGGATAAATCCTTATTCAGCTGCAGCCATGGCAAACACATGCTCCTCCCCGGACTTAGGGAGCTCGCTCCTACTCGTCCTTGAGTGCCTGGGCCTACTATCTCATGAGCTGGGCCCATATCAGGCCAGATAAGGGAGGAAGCCTGTCCCTATCTGTCCCCAGACACTTTGGCCGCACCCAGTCATGTGTGTGAGAGGCCAGGAGCTGGTGGCAGGAGCCCCTCTCCCTGTCTCCCCATTGTGATTGTAGGCAGACAATTCCCAGGCTGATCCAGGCCCCTCTGTGTCCTTCTCAACAGGCCTACTGCCTGGCCCCTTTCGACCTCATCAAAGTCCGTCTACAAAACCAGACAGAGCCCAGGGTGCAGCCAGGGAGCCATCAACCCCGGTATCGGGGACCTGTGCACTGTGCAGCCTCCATCTTTCGGGAAGAAGGGCCCCAGGGACTGTTCCGAGGATCCTGGGCCTTGGTGCTGAGGGACACCCCCACGTTAGGAATGTATTTTGTCACTTATGAAGGGCTGTGTCGCCAGTACACACCAGAAGGCCAAAATCCCAGTAAGTATGAGGTGGCGTTAGGGTATGGCAGAAGGGAGGGCATTAGGGGCTGGGGAGATGCTCTGTTCCAGTCTGACCCTACCCTGGCTCTCTCTGCTCCAGGCTCAGCCACAGTACTGGTGGCAGGGGGATTTGCAGGCATCGCCTCCTGGATCACAGCCACACCCTTTGATGTGATCAAGTCCCGGATGCAGATGGATGGGCTGAAAGGGAGAAAATACCGGGGGATGCTGGATTGTATGGCTAGCAGCTTCCGGCAGGAAGGAGTAGGGGTCTTTTTCCGGGGGATGACCCTGAACAGCGCCCGTGCCTTTCCTGTCAACGCCGTCACCTTCCTTAGCTATGAATATCTCCTGCGCTTGTGGAGATGAGCCTGGCCAGGGAGTGCTAGAAGCTCCACAGCAGGACCATGGCCCACAGCAGGATCTGAGGCCAAGCTAAAGCACCTAGCTTGCAGTTGGCAGGCAAGAGGCACCTCCCTCACAACACCCAGCAGTGCAGGAGCCACTGAGCAATAAACCACTGACCCTGGCTCTGCACAGACTCCAAGGTACATTCTGCCTCCAGCCCATCCCACCAGGACTCCTTCTTTCCATGAAACAGGGACATAAGGCACAAACCAGCCAGGGGATCTGATGACACACAGTCACCATGCCACAGCTGCCCCTCTGAAGGAGCTTCCAGGGACTAGTCACTGTGCTGGCATCACCCACCCCCTGGGTTCCAGTGATGGTACATACTTGACTCTTTCCACTCCTCCTTTCAAGCCACTCCCCTGGACTGGAGAAGAACCCTGTATCTCCTCCCCGTCCAGAATCCTTCAGGGACTTCCGTTACCTTCAACACCTGTCTGTCCCTCCTCATTGGGCAGCCCTCTCTTGGTTGCTTCCTTCTAACCTTCCTCTGTCATGACCCAGGAGTCCTCAGCAGGGCGTCCCCAGCATCCCTCCAGCTGGCCCACTTCCCTCCTCAACCCAGGCAGAGCTCTGTCTCTAGGTTCCTTCCAGTCCCCTGTGGGCTGATGTTGGGTTCCCAGGCACCTCAGCCCGCCTGCCTGCCTCCACCATAGCTCTTGCCTGTTTTGCTCCTCAGGGTCATTAGTCTATGAAAGCCTTGTGGTCAGGTTGTACTTCTGTCTCTGGGGATAAGCCTGATGCTTGAACAGATATATTCAATAAAATTTTGTCCAATGAAGTGATGATGCTCCCCCCTCTACCCTGCAACCTGTCTCCCCTGTTCCAGCTACCACACCTGCATCTTAGTCCTGCCACACACATCTGTCTGCTGAGACTTTCGCCCTCACTACCATGCTCTGACTCACCCTCTCTAGTTCATCTCTGCCTTGTCTACACCCCTCCTTATGGGACTTCTCTATTTACCCATCTCAGTTGCTAAATTATAATTAAACATTTGGCTGAGAAACTTCCCTTAGCTGACAATACAGTTGAACATAGTCTGTACTGACTATAGTGTTCTGATCTGGTCTGAGATCAACCTGAGTTTTCCATGGTGACCTGAATTCTGGAATTCCTGCCATGGCTGTCTCCTATGAATTACCTGGTTCCAACTCTCCTAGGCTGGCCCCTTCATGAGCTTATGGAAGCTCTCCTTCAATGCACCATGCGTCATAGACTATTGGTGGTTGCCCCAGATGGTTCTCTCATGCTCAAAGTGGGGCAGAAGGGTAGGTGGCCCTGAGCAAGGCTGTGTTTTCCAGCTTCCTTTGCAGCTATGTGAGGCTTAACCTAAAGTTCTTCCCAGAGAAATATGAGAAAAAAGGATGGATGAGAATTACCAGCCACTTTTGTTGGAGGAAAATCCTCGTTGTTGGTTATAAGTGTGACAACTGGACTGGCCTTGAAGGCCCTGCTGAGCACGCAGGAGGGCCCTGCCAGCCTGGAAAGTGTGTAGCCTTGAAGCAGATAGCCTACCTCTCCCACATGCTGAGTTCTGAGGTCTCATTGTTACAACACTCCAGCAAACTTTCCCCTAACTAACCCAATGGTCCTTGGGACAGCAGAGCTTGTTGCAGGCAGCAAGCAGGACCCATCCAGACCTACAGAACTCAAGTCCTTGAGGATGAGGCCCAGGAATCTGTATTTACCCCTGGAGATTGGTCTCCCTGAATCCCCAGCTGGCCTGGAACTCACCACGTGGGCCTTGAACTCTCAGAGATCTGCCTGCCTCTGCCTCCTGAGTGTTGGGATTAAAAGCATGCACCACCATGCCCGACCTGATTTTTAATTTAAAAAATTTTTATTTTATGTGTATGAGTGTATTGCCTGCATGTATGTGAGTGCACCTGTGTCATGTAATGCATTGGAGGTCAGAAGAGGGCTTCGGATTCCCCTGGAACTGGAGTTAAGGACAGTTTGTAGCCGCCGTGTGAGTGCTGGGAATTGAACCTGGGTCCTCTGCAACAGCAGTCAGTGCTCTTGACTGCTGAGCCATCTGTCCAGCCCTGATTTTAATTTTTTTTTTTTTTTGTCTTTTTGAGACAGGGTCCTGGAACTCACTATGTAGACCAGGCTGGCCTTGAACTCACAGAGATCTGCCTGCCTCTGCCTCCTGAGTGCTGGGATTAAAGGTGTGCGCCACCATGCCTGGCTCCGATTTTTAATTTTTTAAAGAAAATATATTATTTTTAGTGTCTGAGCGTTTTGTTGGCCTGTATGTAAGTGCACCATGTTTTGCAATGCTGGTAGAGGCCAGAAGACGGTGTCAGATCCTCTGGAACTGGTGGTTGTTAGCCACCATGTGGATGCTGGGAACAAATCAAACCAAACTGGGCCATCTGCAAGAATAGCTGTGGGGGCTGGAGAGATGGCTCAGCAGTTAAGAACACTGGCTGATGAAGTATGTGTTGAGAACAGTTTGATGTAAGTGGCAGACAGCTTATTGGAGCAAGGAAAAAAGAGAGAAGATATACAAAGATAAATTTGATTTCTCTGAAAATAAATTTGACAACCTATTAAAGATGATTAAAATTAAACTGAGGAAGTCTCTTTAAAAAAAACAAAAAGGTGGTGGCACACACCTGTAGTCCCAGCACTCTGGAGGCAGAGGCAGGCAGAGCTCTGTCAGTTCAAGGCCAGCCTGGTCTACATAGCGAGTTCCAGGACAGCTGGGGCTACGGGGAGAACCTGTCTCAAAAAAGAGAAAAACAAAAAACAACAACAAAAACAACCACTGGCTGTTCTTGCAGAAGACCAGGGTTCGAATCCCAGCACCCACATGGCAGCTGACAACTGTCTGTAACTCCAGTTCCAAGGGATTCAACACCCTGGAATTTCATGACACAGTGCACTTACATACGTGTAGGAAATGTACACATGCAAATGCACATAAAAAAAAAAAAGAATAGCCAGTGCCCTTAACCACTGAGCCATCTCCTACAGGCGTGTGCCACCACACCTGGCTTAAAAATACGTTTTTAAAAAATTGTTTTTAAAAGGGCTGGAAAGGCGGGGTGTAGTGGTGCATGCCTTTAATCCCAGCACTCCGGAGGCAGAGGCAGGCGGATCTCTGTGAGTTCAAGGCCAGCCTGGTTTCCATAGCAAATCCAGGCCAGCTAGGGCTACAGGGAGACCCTGTTTCAAAGAGACAAAAAATAATTATTTTTTAGGGCCGGAGAGATGGCTCAGCAGTCAAGAACACTGGTTGTTCTTGTAGAAGACCTGGGTTTGAGTCCCAGCACCCACATGGCAGCTAACAACTGTCTGTGACTCCAGTTCCAGAGGATCCAACAGCCTCTTCTGTCCTCCCCAGGCATTGCATGACATGGATGCACTTACCTACATGCAGGCAATACAGGCACACACACAAAATAATAAATTTAAAAAAATTTATTTTTATTTTGTGTGTATGAGTGTTTTGCTGACATGTATAGAATTTTGACACCTGAGTGTAATGCCTGCAGAAGCTAGAAGATCCCCTGGAACTGGAGTTTTTGAATGGTTGTTAGCCGCCATGTGGGTGCTGGGAACTGAACCTGGGTCCTATGCAAGAGCAGCCAGTGCTCTTTGCTGAGCCATCTCCAGCCCCTTACATTAAAAAAATTATTTCTATTGTTTTAATTTCGTGTACGTGTGTCAGGGGTAGGGGGTATGCGCAGTCCTCAGAGGCTGCTTTCCCCAGCCTGGCCCTGCCTACAGTACACAGGTCAAAGGCAAGTCCTCGGCTTCCGGCTCTGGCCAGTGTGTTGGAGCAGCCCTTCCTTTCCCCTCTTCTCACATCAGCGTCCCAAACCCCTGCCAAACTTCTTCTAAAGGACCTAGGCTGGCCTCCAGCAGGCTGGGTAGCTGAGAATGACCTTGAACTCCTGATCTTCCTGCTTTGTGGATCCATCCCATTCCAGAGCTGGGCTTACAGGCCTGCACCACCAGGCCTGGCAACTTCTTTTCTTTTTAGATTAAAAAAATTTTTTTTTAAATTTTATGTGTATGAGTGTTTGCCCACGTATATGTATGTGCAAAATGGGTGTGCCTGGTGCCTAAGGAGGCTAGAAGAGGGATCCCCGGAACTGGAGTTAGGAGTGCCAGCTGCCATGTGGGTGCGGGAAACTGAATCCCAGGTCTTTGGCAAGAGGAGAAAGTGCTCTTAACTACTGAGCCATCTCTCCAACCATACAACATCTTTTTTTCTTTCTTTTTTTTTTTTTTTTTGAGGCAGGATCTCCCTGTAGCCCCAGCTGACCCAGATCTCGCTATGTAGACCAGGCTGGCCTCCATCTTACAGAGATCTGCCTGCCTCTGCCTCCTAAGTGCTGGGATTAAAGACATGCACCACCGCATCCCAGAAGGCTAACATCTTTCTTGAAATGCAGTTGTGGAATTCTGATCAAGTCATTGTGCTCTTTCATGACGTCCCGTTATTTGGAGGAATCAGGGGAGTTCCTTCCCCCAACATGGGAGGCCTTCAGACATTTGCCCACTCTTGATTTGATTCCTTCAACACATCTGGCCCTCTGCTACCACAGACCTTTGCACATGCTCCCTTGGTTTGGGCCTCCCCCTCATCCTTCAACTCTCCATTGCACATTGCTTCCTTCAACAGACCTTCCAGAACCTTCTGTCTAGGTCAGCTTCCTTGGGCTGTAGCAGTGTTTCAGAAGCACCTGGAGGTTTTGTTAAATAAAGAACAGCTTGCTGTGTGTACCTTGGAGTTTCTGGCTCAGTAGGTTTGGGGAGGGTCAGAGGATGTGTGTTTCACCAAGTTCCCGAAGGTGACTGATGCTACAAGCGCTGGCCTCACACTGGCTCATGTTTTCTTGTCCCCTCCATTCCTCTGTCTATAATCACACACTTGTGTCTGGGTCTCTTGGTGTGCCTGATTATATCTGTCTCTCTAAACCATGAACTCCAACTCCTTGTTATTATCATTAGAACTCTGGCTGGCATCAAGGGCTGCCCAAGAAATTGTTTTGTGTTTTGAGACAAGGTCTTACTATGTAGCCTCGGCAGGCTTGGAACTCACTATGTAGGCCAGGCTGGCCTCAAACTCATAGAGATCTGCCTTCCTTTGCCTCCCTGTGCTGGGATTAAAAGTATGCACCACCACACATTGCTACAAGAAATACTTCTGAGACAAAGGCAGGAGGATCTCTGTTTAATTGAGGCCAGCCTGATCTACACAGGGAGTTCCAGGCTAGCTGGGGCTAGAGAGACCCTGTCTCAAATAAAAGAGAAACAAGTTCTGGATGGCTGAGGATGCAGCTCAGTCAGTAGAGTGCTGCTTACCTTGCAAGCAAACAGTCCTGGATTTGACCCCCAACATTGCACAGATGGGGCATGGCGACACCCACCTGTAATTCTAGCTATAAGCGGGTTGAGGCAGGAGGATCAGAAGTTCAAGGTTATCCTTGGCTAAATATTGAGTTCAAGGCCAGGACAGGATACATGAGACCATGCCTCAAAAAAAATTTTTTTTACCAAAATGAATGAATAAATGATGAAGGAGTGAACAAAAGAAAACTGCTCTTTCCGACGTCTTCTTTGGTGGGCCAGTACTGTAGTCGTCTTCTTACCATAAACCAACAAGATCCCGGATCAGTTACTACAAGCAGAACTGAAAGCCTTGCTAACTTACAAGAAGTGAGTGATGTCCTGCAGGCCCCTTGGAAGACCAGGAACTATGGAGCGAAGCGAGGATGTGGGGACTGGGGCCGCCCTGGTGTGTGCTGCTTCACCAGAGAAGACCGCTCAGACAAAGTTTTGCTGAATGAAAGTCATTACTGGCCAGGGCTACTACACTAGGGTGTTGGGAACCCAAGTGTGTAGCACCGAGCCATTTCTAGGGTAAGCTTTTATACAGAAGAAACATAACCAAGAGTGAAAAATTTAAGTTCCCAGGCTTACAGGTGGAGATCCCCCTTAACAATTTCTTCTTTTTTTTTGGTCTTTTTGAGACAGGGTCTCCCTGTAGCCCCAGCTGTCCTGGAACTCACTATGTAGACCAGGCTGGCCTTGAACTCACAGAGATCCGCCTGCCTCTGCCTCCCAAGTGCTGGGATTAAAGGCGTGCGTCACCACACCCGGCGCTACAATTTCTTTTCTTTTTTAAAAAAAATATTTTATTTATCATTTTTTATTTTATGTGTATGAGTGTTATGCCTGCTTGTAGGTAAGTGCACCCGTGTCGTGTAATGCCCAAGGAAGACAGAAGAGGCTGTCAGGTCCCCTGGAACTGGAGTTACGGACAGTTGTTAACTGCCATGTGGGTGCTGGGATTCGAACCCGGGTCTTCTGCAAGAGCAGTCAGTGTTCTTAACCGCTGAGCCATCTCTCCAGCCCCCCCTAACAATTTCTATTCTATTAAGTAACAATTACTATTTTGTAGAAGCAAGTCAAGCATAACCTACAGAAGCCATAAATCTGCAGTTAGCTGGTACACTTTGGGACACTCTGACCTGTTCCCCAAACAACCAGGGTCCAGCTGACATGTGCTTCCATACCCTGGGCCAACTGCCTGATAATTTCAGAGACTAGAGTCAGCCTAAACTTTAACCTGGTGTAGCTATGGTAAAGAAGGCACCCTGTTACACCAGGGTAAATGCTGACCTCATGACTGAGACATGCAGAACCATGGGCTAGGGGCCAGTGCAGATCACCAGAAACAGAAGACTGGGGTTCACAGGCCAAGACTCAGAATTGAGCCAGGACCCTCAAGAACATAGCCAGTGAAAAGAGACCAGAAGACCTCCACCCACCAGCACAAGGAAGAGAAAACTGCTTCTCTGGGGTGGAGGGGAAGGAGGTAAAAAGGTTTGTCTCCCCCTGAGACCTAGGAGCCATATTCCCTGCACCTCATGGGTTCCCAGGAGCCTGCCTCTGAGAACCTTGTAGACCATTTTATTAGTGCCCCCTTGTGCCTGAAAGAAGTACAAAGTTTTCTAAAGGTGAGCCTAGGTCAGAGTGTTCCAGAGATTAAGTCCAACCCATAAAAACACTCATACACATAAAATACAAACAAATGAATAAATACTAAAAAACAACAACAAGTGCCAGGCACAGTGGGACACACCTTTAAACCCAGCACTCAGGAGGCAGAAGCAAGCAGATCTCTGTGAATTCAAGGCCAGCCTTGTCCATATAGCAAGTTCCAGGACAGCTGGGGCTACAGGGAAACCTGTCCCAACAAGACCCCCCCAAATTAATAATAATAATAATAATAATAATAATAATAATAATAATAATAAATACTAAAAGCAACAACAAATAACAAGATTAAAATGAGTAAAGGGGGGTCTGGAGATATGGCTCAGCGGTTAAGAGCACTGACTGCTCTTGCAGAGGACCCGGATTCGATTCCCAGCACCCACATGGGCTACAAACCATCCTTAACTCCAGTTCCAGGGGAATCTGAAGCCCTCTTCTGATCTCTGAGGCACTGCACGACATGGGTACACTCATATACATGCAGGCAATACACATAAAAATAATAAAAATTAAAAAAAATAAGCAAAGGCCCTAAATATGTATATCTCTGTCTTCTTTCTTTCTTTGAGACAGGGTGTCATACCCAGCTCTAAGACATTTTTTCCAAAGAAGATATACAGGTAGCTAACGGGCTAAACATAGTGGTACACACCTATAATCCACCATTCAGGACACTGCAGCAGGAGGCCAGCCTGTGCTACAACAGTGAGACCCTGTCTCAGAAACAAGACAAGGTAGGAATGGGGTAGAGGTGGAGGGGCCCTACAGAGGACCACCCTGTTCACTCACTGTGTTTTCCTTGCCTAGATCTTGTCTTTATTTATTTATTTTTTGTTTCTTTGAGACAGGGTCTCACTATGTAACCTTGGCTGGCCTGGAACTTGCTATATAGACCAGGCTGGCTTCAGTCTCACAGAGATCCACCTTGTCTCTGCCTCTGGAGTGCTAGGATTCAAGCCTTGTGCCAGGGCCAGAGAAATGGCTCAGCGCTTAAGAGCACTGGCTGCTCTTACAGAGGGCCCAGGTTCAATTCCCAGCACCCACATGGCAGCTACCAATAGTCCGTAACCCTAGTTCCAAGGGAATCTGATGCCTTCTTCTGACCTCCGAGGGCACTGCAGGACACAGGTGCACTTACATACATACATGCAAGCAATACACTTATTCACACACACACAAAATATATATGTATTTTTTAACTTTTATTTTTATTTCATGTGTATGTGTGTATTGCCTGCACATAGGTAAGTGCACCTGTGTCGTACAATGCCCAGGGAGGACAGAAGAGGCTGTCAGATCCCCTGGGACTGGAGATACGGACAGTTGTTAGCTGCCATGTGGGTGCTAGGATTTGAACCTGGGTCTTCAGCAAGAACAACCAGTGTTCTTAACCGCTGAGCCATCTCTCCATGCCCAATTAAATATTTTTAAAAATAAATAAAGCTGCCAGGTGTGGTGGTGCACACCTTTAATCCCAGCACTTTGGGAGGGAGAGGCAGGCGGATCTTTGTGAGTCCGAGGCTGCCTAGGACTTGTAAATCCTGAGCCTGCTGCCTCTGTGGTGGTGAACTGAGTGTACACCTTCCATATGAAGAACTAGGGGCATCTCAAAGCTGGGTTTCCCCTGAGACACTGGAAGAACACAGTGACTCATAAACAGTCAGGAGCCACAGGAGCGTCTGCCAATATAAACAAATTTCCCACGTAAGGAATGTCCTGGTAATTGGTCAGACTACTAGACATCAGATCACCCTCAGTTAAGTGTCTCAAGACAGGGTCACACTGCAGACACCCACATCCAGCCTCTTCATGTCCTGCTTTTGTATAGCTGCTAGTTGCTCAACTTACTGGGGGCTCTCAGAATACCCCACCTCCAAGTACTCCATACACAGAGGTGCCCCCCCACCCCTAGTTGGCCTAAGCTTGCTGTCCATTGGCCTGGCATCCTTCCCACTCTTCTGTCTACCCGGCATGCTACATATTGAAACTCATCTCTGGGGTGGGCAAGATGGCTCGAAGGGTAAAAGCACTTGCCACGCAAGCCTGACCAGTTGAGTTCCCCAGATCCCACATAAAGGTGGAAGGAAAGAGCGGACTCCACAAGGTTGTCCTCTGACCTCCACACACACACACATTATGGCATATTACCCCTCAGCAAATACACACACACACACACACACACTCATAAATGAAATTATAAAATGAACAACAAAACCACATCACCTCTGCTGGGTCTCCCCAGGCTCACCTCAAGCCTTTCTGGTCCTGCCTGGCAGAAGTATCACCTTTTGCAATCTTGTGGCATAGGAGGCCCTGATAAAGGAGCTGTTGGTGAAATGAAAAAATGGATGAAGAAAAGGATGAACGCGTGGATGGATGGCTGCTCCAAATTCCATTTCCTCGGCTTGCTTGCCACCCTCTACCACAATGTGACCTGAGATTGAGCTGCAGATTATCTGGACCATCCGGAGACCTGTCTGCCAGCTTCCTTCTCACAAAGGCGGCCTGCGAGGAGGGTCCATGCACTGTAGTCCAGGCTGCTGGAATTCTGGTTGAAAGACTTCATGCTTTTTTATCATTATTATTGTTATTACTATTTGTATGAGTGTATTGCCTGAATGTGTGTAAGTGCACCCATGTTGTACAATGCCCTCGGAGGTCAGGTGTTGGACTCCCTGGAGTTGGAGTTACAGATAGCTGTTAGCCATGTGGGTGCTGGGAATTGAACCCGGGTCTTCTGCAAGAACAACCAGTCTTCTTAACCGCTGAGCCATCTCTCCAGCCCTAGCTTCATGCTTCTTTCATGTAAACTAGACCTGGAGAGGCTGAGGATGGTTAGCATGCACCAAGCCCTCCCTGGGTTGGGTTTAATCCCCAGCACCACATAAATCTGGGTGTGGTGGTGAACTTCATTATTCTAGCACTCGGGAGCTGGAGGCTAGTGGTTCAAAGTCATCCTTGGTTACGTAGAAAGTTTGAGGCCAGCCTGGGCTACATGAGACTGTTTCAAAAACAAAGAAGGAAAGTAAACAAGGAAAGAAGGCGAGAAAAGAAAAGCGAAAATCACACCCTGACCTCCTTTCTGGTTAGAACTTTATTTGCAGAAGTAGAATAGTTTTTAACCCAGAGCTCAAGGGATGGAACCACTGTAGTGAAACCCAAGTCCCACCTTCCCAAGATCCAGGCTCTCTAGACTAATTTCTTCCCAAGGTTCTAGAACTTTCACCAGGGTTTCAGAGCTACAAAGCCCGGATGGCCACTTGCAAGGCCCCATCTTTGAAGCTTCTGGACTCTTTCACTCTGACCTTAGACTTGGTGCTCCGACTTCCCTCTCTTCTATGCCTTCCACACACTGTATTTCCACAGGAAAGAGCCAGTCTGCCTCTGGAGTGGCATTTCCACGTTTCCATGGGAAACAGGAGAGGGACTCTGGGCCCCCTCACAGGCAGCAGAGGCGCTCCACCTCCACCTCACAGTCATAGAATTTCTCAAAGGGCTTCGGGGAGGTGCTGTTGCACTCAAGCCACCTCCTCAAGGTGCCCAGGGCCGTCAGGGCTTCGGCTTTAGTGGGCAGGGGCTCAAAGTCAGCTTCTTCCCGTCTTTCATTGTCCTCAGTGCCTGTTTCTTCTTTGCAGACTCTAGGCCCTGGCTCTTCACCCTCCAAGTCCACAAAGTGGGAAAACTCCTCCTGGCTCAGCCCAACAGGGGCTGGTGGCACCTCAGGTCTGTCCAGGGACAGTGGTGTCCTGCCAGGAGCAAGCCCTTCCTGAATGAAGCTGCTCAAAATGAGCTGAGGAGGCACCATGGCCCAGGCTGCCGCCACCATGTGCAGCGCGTCCAGTACTGTGATGCCAGCCCCAGCCTTGGCCAGTGAGGTGCCCTCTCTCCCACTCTGGATGGCAGCCAGTTTGCCCAGCAGACGGTGACGGTAATGGGCCTTAAAGGCCCAGACCACAGAGTCGGGCAGGGAAGGTGTGGTGCTGGAGGTAGACAGAGGCAGGAGTCGCACGTGGTGGAGTCCAGGAGGCCTGGCCCACTCCTCCACCACTTGAGCAGCCAGGAGCAAGGCTACCTGTCGGCCCTGCTGCCCCATGTCTTGGTCAAACTGTGCCAGCCACTCTGACCAGGGGATTCCTGGGTCAGGGTGGTAAGAGGCAGGTAGTGCTTCACTGTTGACCCCAAAGAAGCATCTGGGGGCAGCCTGGAGTCCACCCACTAACACCCTTCGCTTTTCTGTGCCCCTGCTGTTGGCACACAGCAACACCTGCAACTGATCACATGCAAATGCTCTGCCGGGTACCGCCCGATATAGCAAGGGCACTTCCACACAGCCAAAAACATTTTCTGGGGAGAAGTCTTTCAGGGAAAGAGGCGGATGGGCCTGGGATGGAAGCTCTGGTGGAGGTGGTTCAGGAGGGAACGGAGGGACAAGGACCTGCCGAGCCCCAAAGCCTACATTGTTTCTACGTTTCCAGCGGACCAGCCAGCCTATGCTGGGCACAAAATCCTGGCCCATGATGTCAGCCAGCTCCTTGGCCTTGTGCAGCAGCATGGGCCCCGTCACATCCCATGCCTTGGCCTGGGCAATGTGATACCAGCAGAGCAGCGCCTCATCGATCCCACTGTACTTGGACTCCCGCTTGCGTTTACGCTCCCGGTTGGCTGTACCACTGCACCAGTCCGCCAGAAGCTTCTCTTTATTCTTGCAGATGCGGGAGATCTGGGGCTGGGAGACCTGGAAGCGCCGGGCCACCTCAGATTGGGACATCTTGGATTCATCCAGGAGTTCCAGGACCTGGATCTTCTCTGCCAGGGACAGGGCGTGAAGCTTCTTCTTGGTGCTCAGCTCCATGACTCCTCCAGGGTACCTGCTGGGGTAGGAGAGGAGGGGGCCCCATGGGCTGAAGGCAGTAGGGATGGGAAGGAAACGGGCACATGAGGTCAGTGCCATGCGTGAGTGCAGAAGGGACGGGTAGACCAGGCTAGCTGAAGGAGGCGTGGGCTGGGCGCCATCCTGAAGACTGCGGGAACAGAACTGGTCAAAGGGAGAGGGGAGCCTCAGTTGGGGTTTGGCAGCGATGAGGTGGAAGGTTGAATCCAGGGAATGACTGTAGAGACAACAAAGGATCGAGGACAGAGAGGCCTGGGATTGAGGCTGAGTCGAGCAAGCGTAGGGGACAATCAGAGTGGCCAAGGGAGAGACCTCTGGGAGGTGGAGAGGATGGCCTGGGATGGATTTAGATGAGGATGTTGGGGCGGATGGTGGACAGAGTTGAGGTGAACAGGAGAGATGATGGTACAGATGGCAAAGCCAGAAGGATGGGGTCTAAAGAGCCAGCCTAATCTGGTACTGGCGAGGTGAGGGTGGTAAGGCTAGCCCAGGGTTCAGCCTGGAGGGTAGTGGAGGGCAGGGTCGAGAGTGCAGGTGTAAAGGCGACAAAAGACAGCAGGGTGAGGAGACTGCAGGAAAGGGGCGGAAGGTCCCCCGCGGGAGGGGTAGTGGCCTGGAGGGATGCGAGGGCACGAGGATCGGCGCCCAGGACGCGGGCTAGCCCGGAGAGGGGGCTCTGCGCTCCGACTCGCCCCACCTCGACCGCGGCTCGGTGGTGGACCCCGCCCGCCCGGCTGCCAGGCCTCCCGCTCCGCACCCACCTCAGGCGCAATCCCGCGGCTCCCGCCCCTGCCCGGCTCCGGGGCCCCGGTGCGCGAGGCTACAGCAGAGCGAGGGAGGGACGGGCGCCGCGACCGCAAGGGCAGGAGGCCGAGGGGACCGCAGGGCCGCAGAGCCCGCGCCGGGCGCTCTGAGCTCTGGGAAAAACCGCGGCGGGCTGCTCGGCCCCGGTCCCGCCCCAGGAAAGCCCGATTGGCCGTCTAGGCAGCGTGTCCCGCCCCCGGCTGCACCTCATTGGACGCCTCGGAAGTGGAGGTTCGTCGGCCCTCTATAGGGGCCGGGGCGGGAGCCGGGATCGGGCGGGAGAGGACAGACAGGGCCAGGAGAGCCCTGCGGCGGCGAGCGGGTCCGGAGCGGGCTCCGCGCCCCAAGGCGTGCCTTCGGCCGGCCTCGACCCCTCCGGCCCCTCCCAGGGCGTACGGCTCTCCGGGAATTGTTCGGAAACGCGATGAAAGAAAATGGATGAGCGCTTTAAGCGACACAAAAGATCGTTACCATGGACAGCGGTGGCCTCGCTGTCATCAAAGAACTCATTAAAAGTATTTTCTTATTTTTATTTTTTGTGTATGTGTATTGCCTGCATGTGAGTGCACCCGTGTCATTCAATGCCCGCGGAGGTCAGAAGAGGGAGTGGGATCCCCTGGAACTGGAGTTATGGATTGTTAGCGGCCATGTCGGTGCTGGGAACTGATGCCAGGTCCTCTGCAAGAGCAGCCTGTGCTCTTAACTGCTGAGCCATCTCTCCAGCCCCTCAAAGGCCTCATTTTAATAGTTTTTTTTTTTTTTTTCCTTTTTGGTCATTTTAAGACAGGGTCTCCCTGTAGCCCCAGCTGTCCTGGAACTCACTATGTAGACCAGGCTGACCTTGATCTCACAGAGATCCACCTGTCTCTGCCTCCCAAGTGCTGGGATTAAAGGCGTGAGCCACCACGTCCGGCCATTTTAATAGTTTTGGTACCTCTTGACAAGATCTAAGTTCCTAAAGTCATTTTCCTTTCTGGTAACATCTCATCCTGAACAAAGTGTAGTAAACTAACCCGAAGCCAGTCTCTCTGTTCCTTACACAACTGGATTCCCATCTCTGCCTTTCCCACAAGTTTTTGTTTTTGAGATAGTCTGTGTAGCGCTGGCTGGTCTGGAACTTGCTATGTTGACCAGGGTGGCCTCAAACTCAAGAAATCTGCATCTGCCTGCATCTGTCTAGGAGTGCTGGAAGTGTGCCTCCTTCCCATAGGTTTTGATTCATCCCAATTAGTAGTCCATCTCAGCAAGTGCCATCTATGTAACCTGAGATTTCCTGGTATATCTCTTTTAGTGGTCTCATTTTGGCCTGTTAAGACAGACTCAGCTGCACGGATCACTGCCTCTCCTTCTACTCCTGGCCTACCAGCAGTGCACAGCCAAGAGTACTCTGCAGTTACTGAGTCCAACAGCAGCATATGGTTCATACAAGTGATTTCAGGATGTTCCAGAAACAAATATGGTGACCCAAATTTGCCTGAATCTTTAAAAAATCTTAATAAAAAATGGTGGGCCAGGTATGGTGGTCCACGCCTTTAATCTGGGCCCTTGGGAGGCAGCAGCAGAGCTCTGTGTGATCAAGGCTATCCTGGTCTACATAGTGAGTTCCAGGCCAGCTGGGGCTACAGGAGATGCTTAAACAAAATGGTGACATGACACATGGCTATACTCCCAGCACTTCAGAAGGATGAGGAGGCTCACTGCAAGTTCCAAGCTACACAGTAAAACTCTGTCTCAAAAAAATAAATGGATATATACTACAGGCAGGGGGATCTCTGTGAGTTCCAGGCCAGCTGGGGCTACTGGAAGACCCTGTCTCAAAAAAAGACCAAAAAAAAAAAACAAACAAACAAAAAAATCCCCAGATATATACTTTAAAAAAACTTGCCAGGTTCCTGTGTACGTGTGCACATGTGTGTGTGGAGGGTCAGAGGACAACCTTCTGGAAAGACTTTCTACCTTGAGGCAGGTAAGGCAGGGTTTCACTACACAGCACACTCCATGCTAGCTCCCCACAAACTTCCAGATTTTCCTGTCTCCACTTGCAGGAGTGCTGGGATTACAGATGCACAGCACCACATCCAGTGTTTCACCTGGCACCCAGGGATTGAACTCAAGTAGTGAGGCTTAAATGGCAAATGCTTCCACCTGGGGAGCCACCGCCCCAGCTATATAGAACTTCAAAATCAAAGTGGGATAGCTTAGCAGTGTGTGTACTGCTCTTACAGTAGACCCGAGTTTAGTTCCCAGCACCCACATCAGTGGCTCACAACTGCCTGTTTTAACTCCAGCTCCAGGGGATCCAGCATCTTCTAGGCTCTGCAGGCAACTGCACTCAAGTGCACATACCCACTCATAATTAAAAAAAAAAAAAAATCTTTGAAACACAGTCCACCATGCAACATCAAAATGTTGTTTGAGTGGGGTGTGGTGTCACATACCTTTAATCCCAGCACTGGGGAGGCAGAAGCAGGTGGGTTTCTATGAGGTCTAGACCAGTCAGGGCTACAGACTCGTCTCAAAAGCAAAACAAAATTTTTCTTTGGCTGAAGGAACGCTGCCTACAAATATACCCTGGGAAAGGCTACAAGGCTACACTGTGGATAGTTCTGGCCCTGGAACCCTGCTCTGGCTCAGCAGCACTGCAGGCAATAGAGGACATATCAGATGAACGAGGCGTGAGGTTCCTCTGCCTGTGGCTACCCTCTTTTTTTTCTTTTATCTTTTGCCAGGTGTGGTGGCACAAGCCTTTAATCCCAGCACTTGGGAGGCAGAGGCAGGAGGATCTCTGAATTTGAGGCCAGCTTGATCTACATAGTGAGTTCCCGGCCAGCTGGGGCTACAGGGAGACTCTTGTCTCAAAATGACATATTTATATATATATAAAAATTTTATGTGCATGAGTGTATTGCCTGCATTTATGTAACTGCACCCATGTCCTGCAATGCCCAGAGGTCAGAAGGGAGCGTCCGATTCCCCTGGAATTGGAGTTACAGATTGTTACAGCTGTTAGTTGCTGTGTGGGTGTTGGGAACCAAACCCAGGTCCTTTCCAAGAGCAGCCAGTGCTCTTAACTGCTGAGCCATCCCTCCAGCCTGCCCTCATTTCTGCAAAAGCTTTTTGTCCCACGATGACCTCATTGGTTCACTATAATTCTTTTAATACTTTTTAATTACTGGGGGGGATGTGCACCTAAGTGCATGTGCCTTCTGAAGCCAAAGGCATCTGGCTCCCCTGGAGTTAACAGATACTGTGAGCTGCCTGACACCAATGTAACTGTTATAAACTTGCCACCACTTCCATCTACATGTCCAACTGTAGCACAATCTTCTCCAGGCCAACCAAAGCATAGAAATAAACAGGACGATAAAGCTGATTTTAACCCAATTTTTGTATTGTTCAAAACAGCTTATTCTTTGAAACAAGAAACTGTTGTAAACTTAAATTTATATAACAAATTAAAAACTAACAAAATAACTAATTTTATATCTACTTCACACAGTGTTTTAACAAAAATTTTGATTCTGGGGAAAAAGTCATTTTAAAATGTTAAAAAACCATTGTCCTAAAGAAATTTTAAATGAAATGGCCTCTCAACCAGGCAGGAGACACACCATCCAGCAGAGGCCACTGTGTAAAAATGTTTATTTTTACTCATGTTTAGAATACAGGAACTAAAGAAGGGGGAGGGGCCTCAACTCTGTCAAAACTGACAGTCAGGGCCTACCCACAGCTAAAGGGGAAGGTCACCAGAGTGTCCTGGTGTGGACTGTCCCCCTCCCTACTTAATGTCAGTGCCACCAAGCAGAACAGAGGATTCAGGGTGTGAAGACCTTACCAGCTGCTGGCTAGCGTGCAAGGGAAGGGGACCCACCCTGGGACCTGGCAGCCATGAGTCACAGGCTCCGGACTCAGGAAGGGCAGGAAGCTGAATGCCCAGGTCTAGGAAGAACAGAAAGGGGGTTTTGGAGGTAGGCTTTTTCATCGAGTTAAAAAACAGGCACATTATCCAACTTCTCCCTGTGACCCCCAGTGGCTGGCCTGGCCCCTGGCTCATCCCCTCCCTATAATACCAAAGGGAACAAGGAGGGGGGCAGTGACAGGAAGCTTGTGGGTGGGGAATGCTTGGGTTGCCAGAGACTAGCCATGACGACCCGTGAGTGAGCCAGCCAAGCACAGGAAGGATGGGGAAGCTGCTAGTCCCTGGGTGAGATGGGGCAGACAGGGCCATCCAGGAGGTGCCCGAGAGCATCCCAGCTCAAGCACAAGACCCATGGAGCATGACAGAGGACACGGCGCTCCTGGCAGGTCACCTTGGCTTGCTCACTCCCAGCTGCCACCAGCAGAGGCCTGGCTTGCCTTCGGTGGGAAAGAACCCTGGCGACCAGAGTGCAGGGTGGGCCAGGCTGAGAAAAGTGAGCCGCTTTCATACTTTCTCAGAGGGTCCGAACCCTGTCATCACCAGGGACCTGGGCCCAAGGCAAGCAGAGCGAGTGCACTTCATAGAGAGCAGAGAGAAGCGGGCAGCTCCTTACTCCCTGAGGGCTTGGGGCCAGAGGCGGTCAAAGCTGCTACCTCCCTACGCTGTTGCCAAAGGCAGGTTGGCAAGACAGGACCACCCATGTCAAAGAAAGGAGGAAGGAGGGGGTGGAAACCAAGGTGGAAAAGAGTAACAGCCTTAGATGTGTGGGGGTGCTGGGGTGGCACATCAGGAGGAGTTCTGGTTCTGGTAGATGGAAGCTTTCTCCTTCAACAGGTCCAGACACAGATGACAGCTCCAGCTTCCTGCAGAGAAGCAGAGGGGTCAGGGTATGTCCCCCACAGCACCCTCAGCCATCCTCCTGTTCCTCACACCCCACCTGCAGGCAGGACAGGAGAAGTTGTACAGCAGCAGCTTCATGGGTATACCGAGCTGCAGGACTGCCTGGCCGTCTAAACTGTGGAAATTGCTCTCCAGGGAGATGAAAGCAACAGCAGGCTGGAGAGGTGTCTACACTGCCCAGCCCTCTCAGCCTTGCCACATCACAGGTCCTAGGACTTTTGGAAGAGGGTTTTTTTTTGGTTGTTGTTTATTTATTTAATCTTTTGTCTTTTTGAGACAGGGTCTCCCTGTAGCCCCTGCTGGCCTGGAACTCACTATGCAGACCAGACTGGCTGAGGCTACAGGGAGATCCTGTCTCAGAAAGACACACACACACAAAAAAAAAAAAAAAAAAAGGGGGGGGCTGGAGAGATGGCTCAGCGGTTAAGAGCACTGACTGCTCTTGCAGAGGGCCCGGGTTCAATTCCTAGCTCCCACATGGAGGCTACAAATGGTCCTTAACTCCAGTTCCAGGGGAATCTGAAACCCTCTTCTGACCTCCGCGACATTGCACGACATGGGTGCACTCATATACATGCAGGCAATACACTCATACACATAAAATTAAAATAAAAAAATAAAATAAAATAAATGCAAAAACCAGCTGGGCCTGGTGGTGTATGTATGCCTTTAATCCTAGCACTCGGGAGGCAGAGGCAGGCGGATCTCTGTGAGTTCAAGGCCAGCCTGGTCTACATAGTGAGTTCCAGGACAGCTGGGGCTAAAAGGAGCCCCTGTCTAAAAAAGAGCCCCCCCCCCCCCCCCAAAGCCAAAACCCCTCTTGGTTTACAAGCTATACAAGCTATGTAAACTGACTACAGCCGACTATAGCCACAAAGCATACTGTGCCAGCCATGACCCCGTGACCTCCAGTGTAGATCATTTGATGACTGACTTAAGCGGGTGGGAGGCCCAGTTTGTGGCCTGTAGCTCTCCACTGCCTCGCCTGAGAAAGCCTTCTGCAGTTAGTGTAGGGTTAGTCTGTGAGCTGTTATTTGAAGGTTAAAAAAACAAAACACGGCGTACTACTTACAAGCTGTTTTGGAGACTTGGGATGAAGTGGCCTGGTGCCCCCTGCAGCTATGAAAGGACTCACCAACTTTGCTAGTGGCCTCTTTCTCTGCAGGGTGACAGCAGTCTGACCTACATTTTGAGCAGCCACCAGTACACGGTGAACCACTTCTGCTGGCTCCTATCCTCCGGCACAGCACAGCTAGCGGGCACTTGTTCTGTCCTAGGTAAGCTCTGGAGGTCCCATATGGGAGGGAGGCACAGAAACAGCTGCAGGGGATATGTGGGGAGCAGCCACTCGGTGCCATCACTGGTTTTGGTGCAGAGCTTCCACAAACCTGGAGCATTGCTAAAGTAAGCTGCCAGAGGCAGAAAGAGCCACTCAGGCTCTAGGGTCAACTCCCTTCCAAACTGGGAAGAGAAAGGAAATAAGGCACTCAAATTTGTCAGGTTGGGAGAGCCACAACTGTGGCTTTGTGCCAGACAACTCTCTCCTGGGTGACTGCTCTGCGCAGCATCACTGGTTTTCATGAGCTGGTGATTTCGTTTGTAAATGTAGCTCATAACAAAGTGTAAACATTAAGCTCTTTAAACTGAAATGGTAGCCGGGTGTCCTGAACTGAGGCAAGGCAGACCCCTCACTCCCAGTCTTCACAGTTACAGGTGACTACTTATTCTGAGTTGATCTGGGGCACTGACCTTCAGGAGGCTCCGACATGGATGGGGTGAGACAGTACATGTGGTAGCCACGGTCACAGTCATCACAGAAGAGCAATTGGTCCTAGAGAAGGCGAAGAAGAGCAAGGGGGTCCACTGATTTATGTGCTTCAACTTCCTAGAGGGGCTGACGGCAGCTAATGAGGGATCTCTGGGTTGAAAACCACTACTGTCCATCTCCACCTCACCTATATGGATCCTAACTGATCACAAGGCCTGGCCATTTCCCTACTGGCCATTTCTTCTTCACAAAGCTGTCAGTTAACCTTTTAAAAATATAAGACTGAACATGTCATTGCCCTGATTAGAAGCCTCTAACACCACCCCCAAGTCCCAAGTCCTGGGGGTGGAGCTCAGTGGCAAAGTGCATGTTTAGCATATGTCAGTCCCTGGGAGTCAAATCTCTGGGTCTTCTCACCCCGCCCCTCAAAAAGCCCCCCAAGACCCCACAGATCTGGTAATGCCTCCTCTCTCACAGACCTCTGGAAAATGGGTGGGTAGCAATGGGCCTCATTACAGCCAGTTGCCACCTTAAGGCTATATGCTGGCTGCTCCCTTCTTGGGAATGCGCTCCTTCCAGGACCTTCTAGGACTGGCTCCTTGGTGTTATCCAACCAACACCAACCTCACTTCCTGCAAAAAGCCAACCTCTGACCACAGATCTCTATCCGTATCCTGTTACTCTGTGGCACATCACAGGTTTCATTTCCCTCCAGGCCTATCACACGGAATTCTCATTTCCTTGCTTACTGCTGTTCCCACGAGCACAGCGATTCCATGAAGGAGGGCGTCTGTCCTGATCACTGTCCCTAGAGCCTGGAACAGTGAGTTTCTGACTGTTGGCACTGGAGAAACTTAGATTTTTTTGACAAGTCCAAGTCCCCAGGAGGCTGGGGAGGGACATGTGGGAAGGCCCCTGCTTCTCTAACAGAAGGCTTGTTTTAGAGGGGACGGCGGGAAGAGCCAGGCTGGGGCATGGGCACGGGGCATGGGCACAGGGCACGCACGTCGTTCTCGGAGGTGCCACAGAGGTTGCAGCACTTGCACTCAATGCACTGCCAGCGGTAGGTCTTCACAGCCGCCATCATCACAGGGGTGAACTGCAGGCAGGACGGGTGCCCTGTGGGGGAAGTGAGTGAAAAAGTAGCTGGAAACCAAGGTGGGGGAGGGACAAGGTGAGCTGCCTGTGAGGCACTGACACCAGCACGTGAAGAGCTCTTGGGGGCTGAGCACCGGAGCAGCCCTCCGAGGCTGGAGGTACCTGAGCGGCCACAGTCAGAACAGGACACTAGCTCCTCAGGCTGCCCTGTCTTCTTGTTGATTTTTGAGTCCCCCAGGCAGAAATCGCAGTAATTATTAGGCAGGGCCAATCCATCAGGACCCTTCTTGGCTATAGGACAAAGAGAAGGGCTGTGATTGCTATTGGACCCTTGGGCTACTCACCATTCCTGCAGGCTGGCTTGTTCCTGCTTGCCCGCCCCCAACACCTCAGCTTACATTTCTGCTCCTCAGACCTCTGGGAAACAGGGGTGGGTGGCTGGGAGTCTTCCTTGTCCTCGCCCTCCTCCTCAGCCAGGTGGGAGTGGGCATAGTGGTAACTGAGGCCAGGGCGGTTCTTGTAACGTTTTCCACAAACTGGGTGGGAAGAAGACAGTAGAAATGTTAGGACACAAGGGACCCATCTCCCCTCCCCACAAGCTGTGAGGCTCCTCCTGAGGACCATGAAAACCACCTAGTTTCCAGTGTCTCTATTCTGGGACAAGCTTTAGAGATGGCCCCTTCCCCTCAGCCAAAAGCAGCAGGCCCTGGGGCTCTCCAGTCTCTGGGGTTCTCCTCCTTCCCTAACACCACAGCCACAACTTTTCTACATTGGCTTTTGGCAGAACTCAGCCCTTACTACATCAGCTTGCCCTGGGAAGAGTAGCTGTGGGGAGCTCCTGTTGAGAAAAGCTCTATGGCCTTGTACTCTGGCAAGAAACAGAAGGGGAAGGAAGAGACTTCACACTCTTTTGCCCCTTAGTAAATGTGGGAGGCTCATGCTACTCCATGTACAACATACTGTCAATCCCCACTACATGGACGAAGGGCTGAGGATGGGCATCTTGAGGCAACAAGGTGTGCCAACTGAGCAGCCAGGGCAGTCATCCCCAGAGAACTCCAGACACTCCCACACCAGTGCCCTGCCCTGCCCCCAACCAGCGAGGAAAACAGATTACATGTTTCATCTTGAGCAACGACACCAAAGGGGCAAGAGGGCCAGCAGGAAGGAGCGAGGACGGAGGAGGTGCTGTGGCGGTGGGGACATTAGCTGACCACCAGGTGCCTGTTTGAGGGAGGGCGGCACGGCGACCTATTCAGATGGGTTTCTGTTAACGCTTTGGAGCCACCCCACGCACTAGGCTGAGTGGCCCTAAGGAGCAAGTTGGTGGGAGACAAGCGATGGTGAAGACAGCCAGTTGCTAGGGCTGAGAGAGGAACACAACCAGGGCTCCGCACTCTACTCTCACACCCTTCCAGAGATTCCAAAACTAGCATCACAGGAAATGAGAATTGTAGGAGGAACAAAGGAGGAGGGAAAAGGGATAGGAAAACCAAAAGTCTGAAAAGTTGAGAGAGCTACCTCTCTGGGGCGCTTTCGAGGTATGCTTTTGTTTGAAACTATCTGAAAGACAGAAAGAAAAGTCATGAGAAGGAGGCCTTGATACACTTGAGACGGGGCAGCGGCAGCAGCAGAAAAGCAAAGGAGAGAGAACCCGCGGCAATGGCTTCAGGCTGGAGGCACGGAAGCAGGTGAGCCCACGCAAAAGGAAAGAGGACAGACATGGACAACTTCAGGGCTGGCCCCCTGCACCCTGGATGGTGGGTCAGCAGACCTGGATGCTGCCAACTACGAATGAGGCCAACCCTGCCTGCTGGGAACCCCCTCACCCCCCCCCCACCCCCGGGGGGGGGGGGGGAAAATTTTCCCCCCCCCCCCCCGGGGGGGGGGGGGGAAAATTTTCCCCCCCCCCCCCCGGGGGGGGGGGCAGGTAAATCTCTCCCAGAGCATGCAGGTCCCACCCACTGTGAAGCAAAGGGTGGGGGCTTCTCAGAGGTCTCGGAACCGGTGAGCAGGCAGGACAAAAGCCCGGGCTTATTCATTCAGTGCAAGAACACGAACCCCCTCCTCCTCTCATCCAGAGCAGGAACTGGGTCCAAGGCAAGAACTACCCAGCCCTGACGCGGCACTCACTGTCACAGGCATAGGGCTTGTCCCGGTCCTCCAGGATGGAGGCTTCCAGCTTCTTCCGAGCACTGCTCACACCCTTGCTCTGCCAACAAGAGTGAAAAAAATGCCTTACTAAGATGTCTGGACCAAAGGCATTATGTGGGCCTCCCTGCACCCTGCCTCACACTGCAGGCAGCACCTGGGCCTCACCTTGGATTTCCCCTTGCCCCGACGCTTTGGAGTATCTTCTTCATAGTCCTCATCATCAAGGTCATCTAGGAAGTCATCCGGTTCAAGGATCCGCTGAGTGGACAGAGATCAGAATGAGCAGAAATCATGTGCATCCAAGCCAAGACTATCCAGGAGCATTTCTGGGACCTGATCATACCCACAACCAGCCTCACTCCTCACCTACGATCCCATTCTCACTTTCTTCCTTCCGTGCTTGCTTTCCTCTTTCCAAGCTGCCAGCAAGGCCTTCCCCTAAGTCAACACCCAGCAGGAAGCCGTCCCTGCTACCCCAAACAGCCATGCCGTCCTGCCAATCAATCGGCCTCCAACACGCATGTCCTAGTTGACATGAGTTTTGCTGCTTACTTGTGTGACCCTAAGGGAAGTTTTAACTGCTTTGCTTCTGCCTCCGTCTGTGAAACAGGGACAGCCTACCTCCTAAGGCTGTACAGGAAGAAGCATGCGGAAAAGCACCTAGCACAGTTCTTGGCTTTTCTTTAGCTCTTATTTTTAAACTCAGCGTTAACTTTGCAGTTGGTAGGGACCAGTGTGCTTCACCTATGTGACAGTAGGCACCAAGTCTCGAACACAGAGAGAAAGAAGAGCCCCCATCTACAGGGCAGAGTGGGAAAGACTAGGCAGCAGCAGGGAGGGGCAGGCTGCAGGGAGGGGCAGGCTGAGGGGAGGGGCAGGCTGAGGGGCGCCTCAGCTTCTGTGGGGTACTTCTGTGCTGGAGATTGAATACAGGGCCTACACATGGCATGACAAGTGTTCCACCATGGATCTGCTTCAGGTCCACTGAGTGTCCCCTCCCCACTCACAAGGAGGAGGCTGGATTCTGTCAACATCCTCTAGCCTGGTACCTTCCGTGCTCGACTGTTGGTCACAGGAAACTCGCCCAGGCTGTCATCATCAACTCGGGGGTCTGGAGCACCTCGCTTCTCCAGGGGGTCAGTGCGCAGCAGAGCTTCTAAGCTGCTGCCGTCCTGAGAGATAAGCCCTTCTTTCTTCAAGGTCTGATCTGTGTCTGCAACAGTAAGGACAAGGCAAGGTTCAGATGGCTGAAGGTGGGTCACAGGGTCTACAGTCCACCACTGTCTTCTCCTTGAACCACCTGGTTCACCTGGCACTGGAATGCAGCTATTTTTTAAAAAATATTTTATTATTTTTATTTTATGTGTATGAGTGTATTGCTTGCATGTGTGTGAGTGGACCTGTGTCATGCAATGCCGTGAAGGTCAGAAGAGAGCTTTGGATTCCCCTGGAACTGGAGTTAAGGACGGTTCGTAGCCACCATGTGGGTGCTGGGAATCGAACCCAGGTCCTCTGCAACAGCAGTCAGTGCTTTTAACTGCTGAGCCATCTCTCCAGCCCTGGAACGCAGCTGTTTACCTCTTCTCCCTAATTTCTTTTTTTTTTTTCCATCTTTTTGACATTTTAAAATTTTTTATTATTTTTATTTTATGTGTATGTGCGTATTGCCTGCATGTAGGTAGTAAGTGCACCCATGTCATGCAACCTGCGGAGGTCAGAAGAGGCTGTTGGATCCCTTGGGACTGGAGTTACAGACAGTTGTTAGCTGTAATGTGGGTGCTGGGATTCAAACCCAGGTCTTCTGTAAGAACAACCAGTGTTCTTAACTGCTGAGCCATCTCTCCAGCCCCCTTTTTTCATCTTTTTGAGACAGGGTTTCCCTGTAGCCCCAGCTGGCCTGGAACTCAGAGATATCTACCTGCCTCTGCCTCTCTAGTGCTGGGATTACAGGCGTGCAACACCCTGCCTGGCAAGACTGATTTCTTTGAAGGATAAAATAATACCTAATCATTTTAGATGTGCAGGATCTAGCATAGGGCCTGCGGATCCCCAGGCGTCTTGCCAAGTAGCAAGTTTACCTAGTTCACTTTTTATTATTCTGTCTATGGGTACATACACATAAGCCAAAGAAGGAAGCTGGGGTCCTGTCCTAGTCCCTTGAAACAGGGTCTCTCACTGACCCTGGAGTTAGGCTGGCAGCCAGCAAGCTGCAGGTCTATAGCCCCCTAGCACTGGGTTATAGGCACATACAGCTACACCTGGTAGATCCCCTGGAACTGGAGCTACAGGCCGTTGTTAATTGCCATGCGGGTGCTGGGAACCAAGCCTGGGTCCTTTTCAAGTGCAGCCTATGTTCTTAACCACTGAGCCATCTCTCCAGCCCCACACCTGGCTTTTATGTGGGTGCTGGGACTGGAAGTCAGGTTCTGCTTTTGTAGGCACACTCTTACCTACTGTGCCAGCTCACCAGCCCCACTTTGTTTCATTTTATCTTATGGGGGAGGGGGTGGGGGAGGTTTGAGACAAGGTCTCCCTATAACTCCAACTGGCTGGAACTCACTATGTAGACCAGGCTAGCCTTGATCTCACAGAGGTCTATCTGCCTCTGCTTTCCAAGTGCTGGGATTAAAAGCACATACCACCATGAACAGCTTATTTTAAGCTAATTTTGTTTTTGCTTAATTCTGAGGATCTCATGTAGCCTAGACTGGCCTCCACTCCCTATGTAGCAGAGGATGACCTGAGTTTCTTCTGATCCTCCTGCCTCTACCTCCTGAGTGTCAGGACTGCAGGTATGCACCAGTATGCTGGGTTTACATAATGATGGGGAATCAAACACAAGGTTTTATGCATGCTGGGCAAACATCCTATCAACTGTGCTATGGCCCCAGTCCCTACCTGGTTTGATAGATGGGAAGGAAAGTCGGGGATCCTCAGGTGGGTGGGCTCGCCGCTTTTTCCGCCATCGCCGGGCAGGGTAGGAGTATAACTGTCCAGAGGCTAATCCTGTGCCAGGAAGAAAGAGTCATTAATTAAGTCCTAACCCAGTGTAAGAAAATGCTTCCAAACATTTTGTAGATGACTTCTCTGTACATTCTCGAGCAAGGAAGTAGTGCTAAGTGGAACCTGGAGGTTGGGTGGGATATTCTGGGAAAAACAAACTAGACAAAAGCCTAAGTGCCTCAACCAGAACTTAGTTAAGAAACTTATTGCTTATTGAAACTTATTAGAAAAATATTGCTTCAGTATGCCATAAATCAAACCTGTCTGCTTCAGCTTCCCCATTTCTTATCATGAGAAGACCATGCTCACCCATGGTGTGAGCAATGGGCCTCACAACTACCTCATCACCTAATGGATGCAGCATCTTCCTTCCTGCGCTGACACCCTCCTTCAAGTCTCCACCCTTACCTGGACCCCGGTGTCGCTTTTCCATCCAGATATAACAGTTGCTCTGGGCTACTCCAGTCTGTGAGTCCAAGAAAGGAAGGCGTACGCTGCGCTCGGCACAGAGGCGGGCGTTGTAATTGTGACACTGTTCCATGGCATCTTTGTAGTACTGCTCCCCGAGGCTGCAGGAAGATAAAATTAGGGGTGTGGGGTGCCCTCTGCTCTGCCAACTGCTTTTCCTGAAGGCTGAGGAGACTGGACTCTTCTGTCCCCTTCTCTGCCTTATGGGACATGGAGAACCTTCACTAGGCCAGCACACAAGGAAAAGCACTTCACATGCACTGAGCTGTCCAGACGGTACTTGCTGCCAAGTCTTACAACCTGAGTTCAAACTCTGGAACCCGCATGGGTAGAAGGAGAAAACCATTTCTGTAAGTTGTCTACTGACCTCCACATGCACCCCACAGTGCATACATACATAATTATCACGAGCAACACATGACTTCATTATGTGCATAATCAGACATGTCTTTTTTGTGTGTTTTATTTTGAGACAGGGTCTCACAGAAATCCTCCCGCCTCAACCTCTCAAGTCAGACTTACACTAACCCACACAGAATAAAAAGTTATTGAGGATGTAGCTCTCTGGTGGAATGACTGCTCTAGGATCAACCCGCAGTATTCGGGGGACAGGAGAAGGAAGAAATGAATGTCATCCTGTGCTTCTCCTGTGCCGCTTAAAGCTACCTCTCCAAATCCTGAGCGGTAGACTTTAATGTCTCCTTACAGGGAAAAAGAACAAGACCTAGGGAACTTACCAAAAGATTTCTGGCAAACCCTGGTTGATTGACCCAACAGAAGGCTATTTGTTTTCTTGTTTTTTTTTTTTTGGTCTTTTTGAGACAGGGTCTCCCTGTAGCCCCAGCTGTCCTGCAACTCACTGTGTAGACCAGGCTGGCCTTGAACTCACAGAGATCCGCACCATGGTGATACACACCTGTAAACCCCAGTGCTTGGAAGGGTCAGACTGAAGAAGCATTGAGCTCAAAGTCATCCTCAGTTACATGGCAAGTACGAGGCTAGTCTGAACTACCTGAGACCTGGCCTCAAAAATCAAACTCTTAAAAAATGCTCTTCAAACTGGGCGTGGTGGTGCATGCCTTTAATCCCAGCACTCAGGAGGCAGAGGCAGGCAGATTTCTGTGAGTTCAAGGCCAGCCTGGTCTACATACTGACTTCCAGGACAGGTGGAGCTACAGGGAGACCCTGTCTCACCCACCCCACCCCACCCCCCGCCGCCAAAAAAAGCTCTTCAAGCACCAACATCCAACAATTTCAATGGCAAAACAAGGCAGTGCTGAGTGGCAGCATGGGATGTTTCTATTCATGGAGCCAAGAGGTGAGTAAGAAAGTACAGTATTCTAAGCAAAGAACTACTTCCGGGTACTCAGAGCTTTTATTAAGCACCGCCCTAAGGGGAAATCTGTTTGTACCCAAGCCCACCTCAGGCCCTTCTTCCCTGTCGCACAGCCAACACTCAGAATTTTCTGGCCTTGGAAGATCCAATTTGAAATCTGAAGCAAAGGTGACCTTTGAGCACGCTGAGAAAAGCTGGAAAAGGGCTCAGCAGGTGTCATGGTTCAGCTGGCACAAGGAACCCACCTTGTGGAGCTGAAAGCAAACTGTAAGAACTCACATCTCTATTCAATCCTTCCTGTTGTTCTGGAGATCAAACTCAGGGCCCCCCACATTAGACATGTATTCTACCACTGAACTGTACCCCAAATATTTTAAAAAATTAAAGTAGAGGCTCATGTAGCTCATGCTGGCCTCAAACTCAATATGCAGCCAGAGATGACAGTGAACTTCTAATCATCCTGCCTCCACCTCCCCGGTGCTGGGATTACAGGTGTGCATCACCTCATTTGGTATTATGTGGTGCTGGGGAATCAAACCAGGGTCTCTGGTATGGTAGGCAAGCCACATACCAAGTGAGCTATATCTGCAGCCTTCAATCAACGTTAACATGGACACCTGAGAGCAGAGGTGATTTCTTTCCCAGCGTATCCCCGTTATCCATGAAGGTGTCTAGGTCACATCAGGATGGACTTGAAAGTACAAAGGCCGGCTTAGCTGCAAGTTACCATATGAACCTGGACATGTAACTAACTTGTGTGGCCTACCAGCCCACTCTACAGACTGGGGCAGTTGGACTAGATGAGCTCTGACCTCTCAGGATTCTGATGTCGATAGTTGGTGGGGAGGCATTTGAGAAGTGGGAGGGAATAATAGGTCTCTGTAGCTAATACCTACAAATAATGCTCAATCAACAAACCTGCTCTACAATCTGATGGGGGCTTTCACTGAGCAGTCACAATAAACCACTGCATAGCTCAGCTTGTTCCCAGCAAGGGAAAAAGACAGACACCCCCCCCCTCAACACTACAAGTACAGCCTGACTGGATTCAATGAGCTGTAATGACTGTAATTTGAGGTACGAACGTGGTGGAGAGCACAGCGCAGTAGAGCTGCCTCACATTTATTTGCTCGCCTTTAGGAGGCAGCCACGTCCTTACCACGCAGGAAAATTGGATAAACAAGGCTGGTGCAGCAGCTCCTTTGTTTCTGCTGATGGGAATTGATCCTGACACTGGAAGTCAAACTGAAGGAAGGGCCAGCCCAGTGAGGCTGCAGGCTGCAGTCAGAACAAGGAGGCGGATGATGGGGGGATGGTGAGGGGTGACAGAGATGTCCTGTCAGAGTCTGTGAGTTAGGTGAGATCTGAGAAGGTAGAGAAGGAGCCTGCTAGGTAAGATGGCCAGAACTGAAACACTGGAGGATTCAGGGGTGGGAGAATGTGATAGGAGAGCAAGAGTCAGAGAGCTCTCATTAACTCAAGCCTCCTGTGGCAAAAATTTCAAGCTAACACTTTTCTGTAGCTCTTACCTAACTCAAAGAAGTTTTAAAATTAGTCAGCAGCCACATTTATTTTAGACTAGTATTTTTACCTTAACAAGATCACTATAAAGATTACTTTAAGCCAGGCATGGTGGCACACACCTTTAATCCCAGCACTTGGGTGGCAGAGGGGGATCTCTGACTTCCAGGCCAGCTTGGTCTACATAGCG